CAATTATATTTTCCGATTTGCCTAAGAAAGCCAAAGGTTGTTCCAAACTGAGCGTGGGTGGCTGCAGGCCCAGGTAAGTTCTTTGCTCTTCAAAGTGCGTGGTGTGCGGGATTTGCTCGGCCTTTGGAATTGAAGGCTAAGATTTCTATCCCCTTATAGTGTTTGAAATGTTTTTTTCAGTAGGTGGCTGCTGGAAGCGATCAAATTCCATATGTCTGTCCATATGTTAAGTCGAGGATATCTTTCCTCATATACTCTAAGGTGATTTCTATCGATGAGGCAAATCTTATCTTTTCGGGTGTTCTGGATTTTAAGTTATAGACCAGATACACATGAGCTACATCGATATTCACGAATTCAAATTGATAAAGCGATTTCGAGACTAAGTATCTTAACTAGCTTCTACATCAAAGCACCTCGTTCCATTTATTTCAGCTCGAAAGTAAAGTATTAGATTGTGGAACCTTTATTTTGCTGAAGGATATCATAAGATATACTTCGCCCGTGGCAACGGGTTTTATCACTCAATTTTTACTCTGGAATAACCACGAAACTGAAAGAAAGTAGAACTAGAAATATTTCAGCTGAAATGAAGAAGCTTTCACAATTATGTTTACGAAAGTAAAATCGTTTTTTGTCAAAAAAAAGTGAACGCACGCTTTTAATGTCTTTGTTACCAATTAAAGTACACAAAACAACAGATATGCGACAAAAATAGTAATCTAAAACCTGTGAATTGCATTTCCTCAATCAAAAACACGTTCTAAAATCCATTAAAAAACCTCAATTTACGTTCTGCCTCTTTTGTTTTTCGACTGTCTCTTTCAAACTGAAACAAATTAAAACGATTGGGCCCGCGAAATCTATTACCAAATTTACATGTGCTAAAATTTATAAGAAAAGTATAACACTGTCAGGCGAATAAATATTTCTTTAAGAGCTAAATAAGCAACCTCTTGAAATGTCAAATCAGAGAGCTTGTTCCTACAGAAAAACCTAAATGGTTTATTAACACATCATATAGTTGTTGACCCATTACGACACCCGAATGATATCATCAAGCTGCGAAAATTAATAGAATCCTCGAGTGATGTTTTGGAAACAATAGTGATTAGGCAACCTAATAGTCTTCTAGCAAGTTGTGCAAATGTTCCTCTTCAAGACGTGCCAATCTCGAGTCTTAATTTAGATTTTTAATTTCTCTTTGTGTTGGCTAGTTTGTAGTAACAACAAACGATTGTTTTGAGTGAAAAGGTGTTGCGCTGACGCTTTTCGGCTAGGACTAAACAAGTTTTGATGTCTCCCACAGTCATTATTATCATACTATTGGATCTGGTTTTCGTAATGGCTTGAGTTCACAGCTCAGTTAAGCTTGTGGCATCCTGTTATCGAGGAACAATAGTTAAAACTCTCTTACCGAATTCTCGAAGGTCAACAAGAAGCTGTGTCAAAAGTAAGTTTGAAACATATTAAGCACGGTGTTCGGTCAATGACATCTTTGTTTCTGTTTCATAAGTAAATGAAAGGTTTTTGCGCTCACCTAAGATTATTTGCCTCAAAATCCAAACCAAAAAACATAACGTGTTAAAGTTGTACAAAGGGAAGAACAGTTTCAGTAACACACATTTGATGCGCATATTTTTTTGGCCAGTTTCATTCCAGAAGTCCCTACTACCGAACAGTCTGGAGAAATGCTCCGTCACATTCTCTCGTAACTCACCAACCAGAAAACTGTTCTTGTAGCGTAGTAGAATTTTCCGAAGTGTTCGTGATATTGATCATTCCCCTTTCACTTACAAAGCGTCAAGAGGTGAACTTTTAAATGATAAGACTAAAACCGCCATACAAACTGTCTATGAGATACAAGTTGTTGTTGGAATACCACTTCTTAAACATTTACTATCAGAAAAAAAATGGAAACAATTTACGATAAATGTTAAGAGAAATTTGATGTTGTTCGTCGTGATTTTAAAGATAAACGTGTCATCGTTTGTCTCAGCTGTACTGAAGAGTCAGGCTTAGCTCGAAGATGCAAGCATTTGGGTGTTACTCTGTAAATTCGAAACTAAATAAAGTTTATGTATGTTCTTGTATCTATCAATCGTGTGTTGATCGCGACTTTTCGACTGCTACACAACTAGTCTTCGTCAGGTGACGAATGTCTGTTTCTTTGAGAAGCCAAGTTTGCGTTGGTTACTTGTGTGATGGAACTCTGGTCACAATTGATCTACGTGAACTACTTTGCCCTAAGTAATACGCGTTGGATTGGGTTCGTTTCCATGTAGTCACTAACTTGTTCGCAGCTGGACACCCTCTTGTAGCCTTGGCATTACAGTTTGATAATCATTTTGATAGTAGTGACTCATTGTGACTGGTTGATAAGCGTTCAAGTGCTGTAACATAATTACATTAGGTAACTCATTGTGACTGGTTGATAAGCGTTCAAGTGCCGTAACATAATTACATTAGGTACACTTTCGCAGAAAATAACCTTATTGTTTCACCCATGCATTTTCAGATTGATTGACTGAACTTGAAAGGAGAAAATTGATTCCAACATGCCTCATCTGAAAGTGAATGTGAACGGAAAGAAGTACACTATTTCTGGTATCACTCGTACAACATGCAGCAAACAGATCCTCTGCGCCTTGGCTAAAGTCGACGCAGAATTACGATCAAGACAAACGACTGAGCCAAAAGGCGACCCCCTCATGAGTGCATCGGGAACTTGTGTAGAACAAAACAGGAGGGCTAAGAAAGTTCGCGAGACGAGAAAAGAATTTAAGAGAGAAGAAAAGTGTACGAGGAGTAGGGAGACCGAGAAGAAGCAAAGAGAAGGAAGAAAACGTTTCAGTGGCAAAGTGCATATTACAAAACCAATGGAACTAAAAAACAATGAAGGAATTCAAACGTCTAGTGGAATGTTCGAAGCAGTAGAGAAAAGCTCCGAGAATCAGCAAAACTGTTCACCATCGCTAAATGAACGAGAGGGTGTGAAAGAAAAAGTCGTCGAGAGCAGTTTTCGAACGGTGGAAGACTTAGACCGGAATATCAATGGACGAGACACAAGCTCTGTGGACAGCAAGGAAAATAATGTTGAGGATGGCGCCAAAGACACTGATCATGACACGGGGATAAGCGAGTTACATTCAGACAGTTCATTTGAACAAAACCAAATCTTGCACCAAAATTCCGGCGTAAATGGAAGCTCAGCGAGGAGAACTTTAGACAGTACATTACAAATTAAAGTGAAATGCGCCTCTACGAACACAGATACCATAGAATTTGCTGATTTGGCATATTCGTGCATGCTTGAAAATAGTACTTCAAACTTAGAGCACGACGAGTACATCGTTGCTGAACTGATTGACAGTGAGACCAACGTTGAAATATTCGACGAATGCACATGTACATACATTGACTCAGAGACTGAAGAACTTCAACAAGAGATCGAAAAGATTCGCGATGATTTAAAGTTAACAGAATCAAAGCTTATTGAGCAAGAGAAAACGATTGAAACGCTGAATGTTTTGATGGACGGCAACGATGATGAATATTGCGCCAACTGTGACGTCAACGATGACGTAAATAAGCGAATTGACGAACTTAAACAGTCAATCAAATTAAGTACTCAGTTGTATGATTATCAGAAGGTCGAGACGCAGGCAAATGCGTTGGAACTAGAGAAAGTTGAATCACAAATAAGGAGAAAACGATGGCACGTAGAGTGTCTGTTGAAAGAGCTTCATATGGCTCGGAATAGCCCACTTACTGGGAATGGACAAGGGAAATCTGCTCCCTTCCCTAGAGACGGTACCCTGGTCTAACAAAATCATTTGACATAAGGTTGTTATTTTCATATTTACTTCGTTCTATTCGGAAACTTTGTTTTTGACTGGAAATATCGAAGTTTCTCCCTGATTCCCATGTGTTAGTTAGTAATGTATCTATCGGGATCCTCATGATTGATAATTTGTCAATTTTTAAATAAAGATGGTTAAATAAAAGTTGAAATTGATTTCTCCCTTTACTGCCTGTATCATTTACTAATCAAATGGAACTTAGTTTTCTTCCATTAAAAACAGTAGTGCAAAATCTATTCCGTTGGTTTCCATCCAGCTGTTGTAGTTTGCAAGGATTGGTGGGTCGAGTGAATGGAAAGTGGCATGCCTTTTATGAGATGTGGTCATCGTGATTTTGTGCAACATGAATAAAGGGGGTTGGGGAGAGTATAGCAGGTAATTTGGTGTTAACAACTGAGTTGAAAACGTAAATTGGCCACCGTAAAGGGTAAAAAAAGCTGACGTTTCGAGCGTTAGCCCTTCGTCAGAGCGATTGGCCGTTCTTGAGAAATTTTATTTCCGCCTGTGCGTGATTCTAGTGCACATATTCAGCCTTGACAAATTCAAAATGTTCGTGAAAAATCCGATTTTTCCCAGATTGAATAGAAGATGATTTGTGTATTCAAGTGTCATTTGAAATAAATTTAGAAAACGTTGCCCACTGTTACTGTTGTGTTACAAAAAAATTTCATTCCAGCGTTGAATGAATGAGTCTTTTGTGGAGCTTATTCGAATGACAATGTAAGGGATAAAACTTATTAAAAAACGAGCACGCCTTCAGGAACTTAAACACATCTTTCTCCAGTCAAACGGTTTTAATAGATCCAAGCCCTCGTGAAGGTAAAGATGTTGTTTAGCTTAAATGGTTTTTTTTTTTTTTCAAGTGAATTTTGGTAAACAAAAAAAAATGTAATAACTGCAAGGCTAACTGATTATTCTATGGAGCATCTTCAGTTTACGCTTGAAGCTATCTTCGAGCTACTTACGCCTCTTTTAAAAATGGGTCAGTGTTTTGTTGTTTAACACCACAAGCTTCTGGACTTGCTACCGTAAATGAAGCGGAAAAGGTCATCGTGCCGTAGAATTTGTGTTAAATTATTTCTACGACCTATTAAAACGATGTTTTTCCTTTTTTCTTCTTCCTTATTTTTTAAACAGAGAAACGAGCAGCTCAACCAGCTACTAGTGAACTTCTATTCGTGACAGAAATACAACAGGTTTGAACAAACTTTCTTCGCTGAGATATTTATTAAAATTTTGATTGCATGGTAGAGAGAATATGGATACAAAATACAGAAAAAGCTTAGCCCCTTTCTTGAAGATTTTGGTTGATGTGGCTCAAGATTTATTTTGTCATTGTTACTACAAAAAATGGGCTAAATTATTTAAGCGTTGAGATGTGTCAGGGTAAAAAGAACGTACTTGAAATTTGAATACTTAACAAAAGATACGATGCCTCGTGCTTTGTTGAGACAAATAGTGCAGTTATCGAAAGTTGTTTTAACAAAGACATTCCTTAAAAAATCCTTCGTTTCTCGGAAACTGTGCTCGCTTATTACAAAGAGCTTTGTTAGCAAAAATCAGCTCTTTGAACAAATATTTATATAATTGCGAAATATACTTTTCTTTGACAGAAAATAGCGAGAACGCGCGTGACTGAAGATTTCATATTAATACTTGGAATTAAAAAATCTCTCTTAAGTTAGACTTGCTTGGGTTTTGCAAAGGAAAACTGAAAGTCATAAGTCGGGTGTTTGGTTTGGCGTATGTTTGACTTATTAAAAGCCGGCTGTTCATATCGTGGGCTACAGTTGTTTTCCTTAATTAAAAAGGAAATTCTCAAGAGGTCTGAGAACTACACGAGTAAATATAGCAAGGCTTCAGAGAATTAATAGTCCATATTAGAAGGCTTGAAGGCTGTTAAAAACGTCTGGTGTGTACCGAAAGTGGAAACGTCGTGCTTCTTTTAATCTTAGAATTTCGGCGGAGGTGAAAGCTCGAACCACAAGCTGCTTTGATGCGAGACTGAAATATGTGTTGTGTTGCCACTAAAAACTCAAGTTCTTTAGTAATGTGCAAAATAAGGGCACTTTTTTATTTCGTCGAAGGAGTTTTCAGTAAACAAATGCATCAACGAGGAGCGACTCTTAATGAGTGTCTCAGTAGTTTATTTCACTCTTGCATCATCTTGCCTGCTGCATAAATATAGAAGCTTTGCGTGCTCTAAAGACTTTGAGCTACAACGATGAATGTCGCAATTTCAACCTCAAAAATCGTGAATCAACTGATTTGTAACTGTTGATTTTAGAGAAAGAGAATTATAAAACAAAGGATAACGTAGTGGACGGACTACCAGAAAAAAGTGTGAGAAGGTAGAACAAGAAGGATGGAGGGTGTTTAGTCTAAAAGCTTTGTCTGCAAAGACAAGCTATGCACAACCTCGACGGCAAACTGCAATCATACTTACGAGATAAACAGTAAGATTCTTCGGTTACAATCTCTATGAAATGGGGTACTTGTAGCGTGCTGATAATGAGTAGGATTGAGGCAGCTTTTGCGATTGAAGCATTGCGTTTTTTAAATGTCTTATATTTTCCAATATTTCAAATGTATGTTTTTTAACCCATTAAGTTAGCATTTACACAGGCCTAATTTGAAGGATGAAGATAATATATTCAAGTGCAAGCGGTCATTCCATTTCAGCAAGCTCTAGGTTGTAATTCTTCGTTCCTTCATCGTTTTGGAATAACTGGATTTTTTTCGTCTGATTGTAGATAATCGTTAACACTTTGCTCACAATCAAGATATATGAATACTACCCTTTTATTGACAATAAAACACATAAAACACATTTGGTCGGCTTGAAAGTGTTTTCATCTAGCATTATTATCAATATACGCGGCCAAATAGAAAATCGGCCTCTTCAAAACACACGCTCAGCGGGCCGCAAAAGACTGACAGCGGGCTGCTAATGCATTATCAGCCCTACAGCTTACATGATGATTTGAAGTGACTTTGAATTCGTCATTCACTTAGCTTGTATTATTAAAACTCGCATTCTTGATATCATTTTGGTGCAAATGACACTACAAGGGCGCAAATAAACAATATTCCCGAAAAAAGTCATGTTATTCCCTTATTAATGCAGGGTATTAATTACATCACAGATAAGTCCCACGGCATAACATGATTCACTTATTTACAAGCCTTAATCTACCTTAATTTATCATTTTGCATCGTTAAGTAGATTTTACATCAAACCTACAAATGTTTTATCTATCAGTGATCTTGAATAAAAAAAGAAATGTTTTTTTTTTCCTCTGGCATGTGATGCAATGAAAAGTCCGGCAGTTAAACATATCACAATATTGAAACTGACATTTATTTTTCTTAACAAAACTCAGTTAAGCCTAAGATATTTTATCGATGGACGTAATTCGACGCATTTCTGTCGATCGATTAACAAATGTTTGGAGCCAGCGATCTAGAGATTTCATTATTGTATTGGTAATTTACTCAGCAACAAAGGAGATCTTTTGCTGCTTTTATAGAAAATTTTTAGCAACGAGCAAACAGAAATCTGCATACGCTGGATGGGATTATCCGCTTAAAGGCTAAACCGAAAAATTATCAGCACACAAAATGTTAAAGTTGCACTAATTCGTTGCAGGTTTCTCGTTCAAAATTTTGGTAGTAAACGTTTTAGTTCTAATAATTGGTTAAATACAAGTCGGAACCGACCAATTTTCCTAACTGTCTTAGTGCAAACCAATTTTGATTGCTTTCTTTTATCGACTTTTTTAAGCCACACAATTTACGAAAAGGTCACACTCGGATAAGTTTAAGGGGGTTGTGATACTCTTTGAAATTTGTATTCCTTCAAATTTTCACGACCCAACTAAGAGTTCCATGTTTGTGGATATTTTCGCATTTTCCTGATCTTACCGTGTTTGCTCCGCACGAAGGCTGTAAGAAAAACTTTGGAGTTCAGTCTGATTCACATTTTCACACTTGAGTCCTTTCAATATCGCCTCGCGCACGTCTTTCCGTAGCAGTCCATAAAGTAACGGGTTGAACAGGGCAGTTCCGCACGCTAACGCTTCTGCTACCTGCAAAGCCAGCGCCAAGCCGCTTGTTTTTTTCTCGACAGCTGTGTGAAGCTCATATATCGACAAACAAAAGTAGGGCAACCAAGTCACCATGAACGTACCGACAAGTAGAGCAATGATTTTAACTGTCTTGAGCTTTTTTATGAACGATCGGTTCGAGCTTCTTGTGCCGCTTTGCCCGTTTGGGTTCGATGCATTGATTTGTCTCGCATGCTGCCGTGCTACGTAGTAAATTTTTATGTTTACCAGCAAGATACACAAACATGGTAGACCAAACACCAGGGCGAATCGCAGGACTTCGTAAAGTTTTGGAGTTCTACCATTTTCGTCTTTAAAAGCAAAGATGAGGAGGGCCTGGAATATCGATACCAGCCATATGGTAGCAATGATGACTGTGGCGCGAAAACGATTCAGGAAAGCGTCGTACCTAAACGGGTATGAAATGGACATGAAGCGTTCCAGCGTAACGCCGGCCAGGTTGAGAAGTGACGCAGCGCCTACTAACGGAAACAACGTGTCCTTAGCTGTGGAGGCGTTTTGACCGGGGTAATACTGGCACCAGATGTTCAACGGAACAAGGACACTGGCCATGAAGAAGTCGGCCATAGCCAGAGATAAGACAAATGCGTTTGTAATCGTCCACAGTCTACGAACGCGGCAAATTGTACCAATTACACACAAGTTGACAATCAAACCGAATACTGCAACTAGTACAAAGTACGTAATGAGAACAGGTAGACACGTCGTCTTTGCCTTCGGCAGGCTGGTATTTGCCTCGTCCAAAAGCTTCAAACAAAGGGAATAATTACCCGAAAGAGAGTGTAACACTGTATCGGAGTTATTGAGTTCTCTTAGTGCTGTGAAGTTGAATCGAGCATGGATATCTGGACATTTTCGAAGCAGTTCTTCGAACGAGTCGATATCAGAAGCCATTTTCACCTAATGAGTCAAGAGGAAAGAAAACACAACACTTTTAGGCTGTAAATTTTACGCAGACTACATCCAAAATTTGGCAATCAGATTTTTTCACTTTGCCCTTACCTGTTGAGTCATTGTCCAAAAATTAAATTCCGCTTGGGATCAGAAACTACTTGAAACGAGTGGCTTTGCTCGTACTCGCTCCTTGCTTATTCAAAGCTAAAAATCAACAATTCAAGATTAAAATTAATTCTTCTCGAATACGCCGCTGAAACCAGGGTAACCGCCAGGCCGTAGGCATAAGGTCTGTTGAATTATTTGCCCACCTAAGTGACATGGAAATAGTGGGCAGGTGTAAGGGGAATCCTTCATCATTCTATTGGTTCAAAACACAATTGATTGAAATCGAGTTCTTCCAAAGCCAACATCAATCTGTCAGACACGGAAATTTTCTCATTTTTGTGTGTATATAGTTCTGAAATAGTCGAAAGAGTATAATTGCTGATAATTTATCCCTGTTTTCCTGTTTTCGCTTACTTAATTTGTTTTACGAAAATGAGTTGAGCATCATGCAATGATTATGTGTGACACACATTCTCTCTCTCTCTCTCTCTTTCTCAGTTTTAACGTAGGCTTGACCTCATTCTTTTCTTACTCAACCACTCAGTGACCAACTGTTTGAAATGGCCAATATGTCCTTTTTTTTGTTATTTAGATTTTACAGTACAAATGACGATATGGCTTCCTAAGCGACATTAAAGAAGTACATCACAGTTTTCATTCAACTAACAAAAGATATTAAGAATTTTTCAAAATATCGACACCGTTAAGTCGTGCCAAGTCAAACAAATGAAAACGGCTATACGCTTTGTATTTGGGCCATTAAGTTATGCTAAAAATTAGACCGAGAGAGCAAAAAAAAAAATAATAATAAAATTGTGAAAGGTGCCACAAAGTAGGGCGTTAATTTTTCCCGAGGATATTTTCCACTGCCCACTCATTTCCTAATTGCTTAGTAATCTTAAATAAGCTTTATGATGATGCAAACCCCTACAATAAGGGCTTAATGGCGTGAAAAATGCTATATTAGTAGAAAATAATCACAAAAATCGTGCGAAGATGTTTGAGGATGAACGAGACACAAATTTCAAATGATGATCTAGAACTTTTTAACGGCTAACTCGAGGTGCATCAACCGTCAGCGATATATAACTCCCTATGATGATCAAAAGAATCAAAATTGTTAGTTGTTGTTAACTGAGTTTCAAGAAACACAAATGTTAAAAATATAGTGAGGTTCTATAGAACTGCATCTTATTAGAGCTCGATTAGCTTTAAGTACCAGACAGCTGTCCTTGTCTTAACGAATAGATAGGCATTTTTTCGTTGTAAGTATATTGATTTCTTTTTACTCAATTAAAAGACAAGAACTCTTGGTAAAAAAAAAAAACTCAAAAGGAATACAACAGTTTTCTTAACATTACACTAAAGAAGCCCAGGTTCCGTGAGAGCAGAGCCAGTGTTATGTAGCTCGCGCTGTTCGAACTCCCTCATTTCTTTTTGCTAAATCATTCTCTTAGACTGGAAATCAGCAAGTATTAGTTAAAATTTGTAGTGGCCCGGACATTACTCTAAAGCTTTTTTCAGAACTAATGGATCGGCCAAGAAACACGTGCAACAATAATTACGGATTATTCCTGAAAGACTATTTGCATTACTAGGTTTTATTAATATTTGAGCGTGAAATGAGTTTTTTTCGAGGACCGGACACAGGAAAGTCACAGCACAGTTTACGCTGCCTACCTTCTTCCTTTGTTAGTGCTCCAAATTCCTTGATCCAACCGACAAAAAGATCTTCAGGGGAATGAAAAGCCAGGACTGTTGTACATTCAAAGAGATCACATGTGTTATCGGAATAATGCATGATTTCATTAGTTTCTTTATTTGCAAAGTCTGATCTTATCATTAAACTGGATTTGGGCAAATTGAGCAATAAGAAAATAAAGACCTGTGGTACATGTATATCACGAGTTCGTTTTGGAATGAAACATTCTGATCGGTAAAACTGTGTCAACTGTCAAGAATAACGTTCCATCTGCGACAATTTCCTATTGCTATAATTTTCTTAGGCATGAACAGATATTGAAAGTAAGCGAGTGTAATAGTTTTTTTTTTTCAATGGATAACACAGGTCATTATTGCCTTGGTGAAACAGAAATCAATTAATCCTGATCTCAGTTACGGAAGCTTTTAACAAAAACTAACCTTGCCGAAATAACACTAATGAGAACCTTGGCGTTGGTAACAGGACAATAATTTAGCTTGCAGGCAATTCAAGAGTATTGAGTGTTTTTTTTTTAAGATCATTTGCATGTGAAAAGGAATAATATTTCGCCTTTTGTAAAAGCCGAGGCTTGTCACCTTTGAGAGTAAATTACAGGCAAGACGAGGCCAAAGTATGAACAGCGTTATTTAAGATCCTAAAAAAAAATAGCTTGGTCTTTTTCCTCAAGAAAATTAAAAAAGAATGAGAAACTAACCAGCTGGAGTGCAATATCAATTCTTTATCTGACTTCTATGCCGAGTTTCAGTCACTGGATGAGGAAATGTAGTCCTTTATTAACGGGAATCTGCTATCAAATGACTATGTAAAATATTAGCATTAGGAGCGGAAGTTTAATTTAAGAGCCTCTTTCCTTATGAAAAGATCCTTATCAGTGCCTATTAGCAACCCAAATGCATTTAAATAAATCAACATTTGACAAACAAGTGTTATTCAAAACTTCGCAAACAAGCTTAGTCGAGCAATTCCTTATTTTTATAATACTTTTTCAATATTATGCAGGACTATTACGATGGAAATGAAATTCTCTCAGTTAAATCTTCCCATAGTTTTGATTATCTCACTCTATGATTTGAGAATTTATTATTAAGAACCTAGAATAAAGGTCCCTAGATCAAATGATCAAAGTGTGAATGATTTACTTACGAACGTGATATTTATTTATGGCAAATAAAAACATTCTTGTCCTAACTCCCCCTATTCCTATCTTTGCGCGGAACAAAGCTCCTAATTCATTGCACATAACATTCGATAAATTACTCGGTGGGTCTTAGTTAATTAATTTTTGGCATCTTTGACATTAATATTAGCAAGTTGTTTAAACACCGTTCGCCATGCTTTTGCAAATTATCATAATTATTTCCTCGACTTTGTTTTCATCTTTGTTCAATCATTTACCCAGTTCTTTTTGTATAAATGTGGATTAACTGAAATGTTTATCTCTCATTGGTGCAATTAACTGTCTCAATGAGATGATTGATAGCTGGCTGACATCACGTACATTGTTTCTAATCAACAGTTATATGCACGTTTGCCGATAGCTTTTCTTCTTCCTAAAATTCTTATTTATTTGACGAAGATCTGCTCAAAAGCCGTCGATGTACTACGGGTGTAATATGAGTAACACACAAACCATAATAACCGGCTGTAACGAGTATGAAAAAGTGCCATTTTTCTTTTTTTTTCTCTTAGTTTTTTTTTAATAAAAATCATTGAAATTTCTATGTATCGACCGAAACTGCGAAACTCATGACGCTGCCAATACTCCAGTTGATATGTGAGGTATACATCACAAATAGGATAAGGGGTCTCCTTTATTCTGAACGTCATAACCGGAAGTTTTCGCTGACACCTAAAAACCGTACACATACAGTGATGTCATAAGAAGAGAACGGACAATCTGCCGATTTGAAAAAGTGGTCAACTGTGAGTGTGAACGAAATATAAGGAACAGATTTTTGAAAAAAGTAAGTTGTGCGTTTCCCGCAGTGTTTAAGACTGCCCTCTGTTGCGACAGAAAGACACGGGAAGTTCGCTTAGGAAAGTCCTGAACGTGCAGTGGCGATCTTGATAGGTTTGCTCATTATTTTATTAAGCAGGAAATTCGCAAACTTTGAAGAAAATTAATTATCAAGCTAGCTTCTCCCAACGCAGACCTGCTTGAGTATGTCATGAGCGCTTACATAACTTTCACTTGTAACATTGAGTGCTTACAATACCTTTTACTTGTAACATTGAGTGCTTACAATACCTTTTACTTGTAACATTGAGTGCTTACAATACCTTTTACTTGTAACATTGAGTGCTTACAATACCTTTTACTTGTAACATTGAGTGCTTACAATACCTTTTACTTGTAACATTGAGTGCTTACAATACCTTTTACTTGTAACATTGAGTGCTTATAATACCTTTTACTTGTAACATTATAAATAAAAGAAGGAGTTGAAAGTTAACATCAGTCAGGGCTGTAATAGAAAAGAACTCAAACTATAAAGAAGAAGAAACATTTCAGTTACTTATAAAAATTGTGATATACAATACATTCCTCATGAGATGTTTTACTTGAGGAGACTAATCGGTGAAAGACATAACATCGTCTCTTGGTTTAAGTTGGCTGTCAGCCAATGAAAATACAAGACAGCATTATCTTTGCATATTTTATGAGTAACGCATTCATTGTTTTAGCGAATATCTTATTAACATCAAGACAATGATTTGAAAGAAAAGGTATAACAGAAACACTTTCTTTGTTTTCGAAAAGGAAGCAAAGCAAAACAAGAACCTTAACTGGGATTGCATGCAAACTAACAAGCTAACAATAACTATTCTCTGCAGGTTACAGAATTGTCCAGACTGCAGAAGACGTTTTAATTTGTTAGTTATGGTTTATTTCACGCAAAAAAGACACACTTTTTCGGTTTTCTTGACCTCAGATGTTTTCGTGCTGAAAGTATTAGACAGGTGCCATTGACGTATATGATAGGAATTTTCGTAGAACATTAAAAAGGAATATAAACGAACGACGATTTCTTCGCAATTCAGAGCATCAATTATATTTAGATATGCGGTATGTTTTTAAATGAACGGTGGTTTTGTTGAAAATAGCTGAGTGGGGGATTGATTGTTTTCTAACTCAAGCCATAAATTGACGGTTTTTGGGAAAACATCCCTTTACACACTAGGTTTTTGTAAACAACGTCCGATGGTTGAAGGAATTTTGTCGTTTTGCTGAGGAAATGCCTTTCTTTCTGATGAGAATGCGGTCTTGAACATTTGCCTAGTTGAGGGGTGCGATGGAATCTGTGACCTGAACGGTCTACTGAAGTGTTCACAGGTAAAATACGATTTGTTTTTCTTTATTGTCACCTCCATAATATACTTGGTACTTAAATCATACTGGATGATAGAATGTAGAAGTATTTTATTCAAGGGGACGGCAACTGTTAGGAGAGTTTACCTGTACACTGAAGCTGAAGTGTTTCTTTATTCAAATATCGCAAGAAAGAATCTAAATGAAAAGAAAAACCAACTTACGAAAACACCGTATTTCCGCATGATTAAGTATAATCTCATCAGACTGTAGCAAATAGAACTAAACCATGCTCGCGTAATAAAAATGTAACTGATACACTTCATTTCTTTTTCTTTACATGAGTAGAATTCAATAATATTGAGCCGTCCCTTTAGCAAGTTCGTTACAGACGAAGTTATGTCGCTGATAAAGATTCAGTCATAACATACCGCAGATAACGTTTCTTGTTTTTGTTTCGCTGATATTCATATGGAGATGTCCATGATTTCAGCACCCTGAGACATTTCTCCCTGTTCGACTCTGTGGTCATACATTTAGCATAATCTGAAAGCAGTGGACGAACCCAACATATGTGCGGTTAAATAATTACAAGTGTTACAAAAATCGATACCTAGATTTTAATTATTTTTCTACATGAATGATTTATTTTTCCACAAATCTTGAACTAAATCTGACTTACTCTAGACAACTAGCACATGTCATATTTTTGCCGGGTAAAGTTTTTGCTTTCCAGTAACCCAACTTTCCAGGTGAACGTAAATTCTTGATCTCCAAAACCTAGAAATTTATCGTCTGTTTTGAATTATAGTAGTTATATCAAACCTTTCAATTGTTTTTTTTTCCTTCCAAATAAGAGGGAGTGGTTAGATTAACTGTTCCCACTACCACACAGAGTTTCAACATTATAATGGATTTCTTTCAAGAGCGATAAAAAAGGGAGATAGTGGAAATCAGATATACTAGTAAGAGTCCAGAAGAAAAACAAATTTAAAAACTCCCTTAATTGAGGGCTGGTAAGAAGAAACCAATTATTTCTGGTATTTTTAGAAACAATTTCTGTATTTCTAGCAATATAGATATCAGTTCCATTTGTATGAAGCCGAGTGTGTTTCTAAAAGTTCTCCGTTCTTACATGTTGCACCAGTACGATGAGTTAATTCGATCTTAGCAACTATAGGTAGGAGGTATTGTTGTTTTTCATGATTTAACGTATTGTCTACCTATAAAAAAGCTCGTCAGCATGAAAAAATGAGGTTAGTAGGATATAAAGTTATCGTTAAGTGTGGTTTTCAAACTAGTGTCGCTCAGCAGAAGGACTTGTCCTCAAATCATGAAACACGGGTTTCGTCGAACGTTTTTCAGTACACAACAGGAATGAGAATGCAAACTGTCATCCGCTTAACGTAGGTTGATCTGATTGCATGAAAACATCTCAAGGAAACATGACAAAAGAGAGACGGTGGCCCATGAAATGTTGATATGGCTCATCAAGTTCTGATATAAGACACTTCAATCCCAGGATCTTCGCGGAACCAGACAGAATTTATTGGTGGGAGGGGTGGAAAATGACACGTGATGAACTTTGTTTTGCCCTGGGAGACCAACAAATTAAGTTGCCAAGCAATCTGTCATGCTATACTGGCGATTCAGGGAAGCTCGTAAAAACGTAGTTTCTATGAAGATACTTCAGCAATATCTTTTCATTAGACATGCGCGACTTGAAACCTTGTCTAGCAAAATAAAACTCTTATCGCCTGCCTGAGGTGCAAATAGAGAACTGAGATTCTGATAGCTCGCTTTTTCGTAATGTCGAATTGCAATTTGGCGAACGAGTGTCTCTAAAGTAACGCATCGCGTGCATAAACCTCTAAGATATTTTACTACTGAGTTTTTTTAACAGATGGTAACATTCTTGTCTGTGCGTTTGTGTTTAGAACTTCCTTGAAGACAACGGTTGGCTTAAAGAATCAGATTCATTCAAAGCAATAGATTTTTTGACGTTCTTGTCATTGTTAGGACATAGCTTTAGACAGTTTCGCGATCTTTAAAACGTATTCAGGGTGTACAGCTCAGTTAATAAGTTGTGAACCGCAGTTTTTTACTTCCAACTCTGCACAAGCCCATCAGAGTAGAAAACGACTAAAGTTGATTATTCTGTTTTGGTGATAACGCTTCAGATTCGATGATATCCGTCTGGAAAAGGCCTTTGGGTGAGTAGAAAGATGCCAAATGAAATATAGAACTGTTTTGCAATCAATTTTTTCTATTTGGACTCTCGCAAAATCAGCGTTACGTCAGGTTTGAGCCTCAGCATGAAAAAAATTGTGATTTTGCGCCCAGTTTAAGCTAATGGAGCATAAATTTTCTCTGCACTTTTAAAAATCTAAAGCTGGGTTATCATCTCACATGGGCCTGATAAGAGTAATTAGGAAAATAGCACAAACATACAGACATCACGCACTGAGGTAAAAACACAACACTGAGTTTGATCGGTGCGTCGGCTTCACATGTCAGACAAAGATATTATAATCTTGCGGTATTTCTTAAGACCTGCCGAAATTAGCCCCCCTCCCCCCCCAATCATTTTTTTAATTATAATTTTATGAAAGCAACTGGTAATTAGGGGTTTATGGAAAGAAAATATAAATTATTTTCCTCGCACCTGTAGAAAATTATATTAGCTGTAGCCCTCAAGCGCCGACACGTTTATAGCAACAGAAAACTTGTACTACTTATGGATGAGGTTGTCCGATGAATTATTGACGTCCGATGAATTATTGACACGATTCAAAATGGCGTGACTATTTGCCAATGAATTTATCTCTCTAAGAACTCATAAACGTAACAATAATACTTTATTCTAATACAAGAACTGACAAGAAAAGGCTCACGCAAAAGCTTAGAAATTCAAGAGTAGTCGATCACTAAACCAAGAACCCATTTAGAGTGAAAATTTGTCTGAATATTAGTTTTTAGCTGCTCTAATACATCATGAAAGTAAAATCTCAGGAGGATCAATAGTTCTGAAGTCTGAAATTTAGTGACGTCACGTGAAAAGAACGCTCCTCTCATATCGTTTCTGATTCATTAAATTCAACAATTGCCTCTTGTATAAAGCACACTACCTTCTGTTTTCATCTGCCATACCTTTCTAAGATGATCTTTCCTTAGCTCTTAACTCGATCCACCACTTTGGTTCATCTACTTGTTATGTATTCAATGTAAATTTGAATTCTTCGATTCATAAGCCATAAATGAAGACTGAGCACTTGAAACTGAATCTTTCCTCGTAATTTGGTGGCTGATCTATCTGAGGCAACTAATGGTTTCACTCAAAAAGAAACGACGTGCTTTCTGCGATGTTTGTTTCCCGCAAACTAGGTCCTGATGAAAAGGGCTTTTTATCACTCAGTGTAGGCGTATACCCGTCTCCTGTTTCCTTTTGATGATCATAATTAAATGTGACGTAATAGTTATTTTACACGTCAATCAGATTATCAAGTTCTAAGAGAACCATAAATTCGTCTAGCCTTTTCTTTTAGTCTTTGTTGGGGAATAAAAAACCAGTTGACTTTAGGAAAGAACTTTCTCGCTTTTCCATCTTTTTCTCGATGGAGTTGTTTTCATTTTGGCCTCAGATTGCAAAGAGAAAAGAGACATAAGATGGTGGATTGCAAGATTCAATGTCTTTCGTTTGCGTCCTTTATCTCCCACGTGTATAGTACTTGAAAGAAGATTTTCTAAGCCGTATTAGGATTTAAAGAGTCGCCACTAACCGGTTAAAATGCAAGCAAACGATATCCTCGAGCGCAGAGCAGGTGAGATTGTGAGCCGTCTTTGCCTTCAGCTCAGTCACGTTCTTAACACAAGATAAATTAATTATTCAGAAAAAAAATCGATGGCTTTAAACCACAAGAATAAAATATAATCATTTATATTCCTAATGAAGTATGCAGACCAAGTTTCTTATCTAAAAAAGCTATTTTTTTAAGTTTTAAAAGGTCCTAGTATAGAGTTACTATGATTTTTTCTTACAAAGTGTTGATAAATGACAACATATCAACAATACACAAGAAAATGAAAATACGTGACAATGTATGCAACGATGAATGAAATACTCCAGCACTTTGTTTTGAGCTTAACTATGATCAATTGTGTACATTGATCTTCGCCAATAATTAAACAAAGAAAAATATTATATTGAAATTGTAAACTTTATAAGCTCGCAATCTCGCCTTTTTTAGAGTACAGGTGATAAATTGCACTATTGTCATTATTTTAGTTATTGATTAGCTTGACCTTATATAGAATGTAAGTGTCACTGTGGTTGCAACTGTGTCATAAAACGTCTGGAAATTTCCACCAATGAACCTTAAAAGGATTTTAAGTTATAGACAACCGTTTGTTTTTCTTTCATTAATTCTTGTGTAAAACGCTGGACACTGTCAATATCAAGCGTTCCCCTGTGGACTTAACGCCGAGTTGAGTTTCCTTATTAGCCTACTGTTGATTCCGCAATGGCTGAGAAACGACGTAAAAGGTACTACTTTGCAGGTGTTCCGATTTTACTGTAAGGGCACTGATTCAGTCGTTGCACGTGTGTTAGTGAACACGGCAGATTGTTTACATCGGTGGTTGAACTCTGGACCAAGTAGTTCGGGTTCGACTTCTGTTGATAGTAACTCTGTTCTTATCCCGTAAAAGACAGTTAACTCTCACAGTGCGATGTCTTCCGATTGCTATCAGTGAGGTAGACAGGTGTTTGTAGAAATGCGAAACCACTGGAAATGGGGGATGTATCCTGAAAAAAATTTTGGGAATTAAAGGACAAATTTGAAGTAATTCTAGTTGTTGCATTGTATACTTTAGGAAGGCGTGAGCTTCGTGAATCAGGACTCAAACGATGTCGAGTGAAATACAGTGCATGACCATTGCTTTCATTTGATTGGATTGCTTTTGTATTTCATGTGCGAATTAGTACATCGGACTTAACGGGTTTAAAAGCAATTTTTCATCGAGATAAATCATCTTGATGATAGATGAAATTTTTCATTGCAAGTCATTTGGAATAAACAGGCTTCACACGCGAATCGCCGATCATTAAATGAAAATTACCTAGAACATTCTAGAGTTGATGGTTGAGTTAAAATGACTGCGTTAAACTACTCTATGTTAAAATTACTTTGATGGTTCAAGAACATACGTAAGAATAACATGATATAAATGAATGCCAACTACAAAACTCGAAACGAAGATTCGTTGCTAAGCTAAGTAACGAAAGCTTTTTCACAAAGTTATGCAAATTAGACAGAACTGACAACTTTTTAAAACTGACCAGACACAAATTGACAAGAATCCTATTAATTTGTTTGACAGGCCATATGGTAAAAACACAATGCTCGGCTGCATACGCGTGTCATAACTCCTTAATTGCCATCCTTCGCAAATCAATATCGCGAAGTATTAAATTATGCACATTTTAGTGCGTGCGTTAAGACGACAATTTTTTAGAGGTGTGTTTAATACTTAATATTCTACTTTCGGGCTTGCTAATGATGATTTGGACGTTTTCGAACGCCTTGGGCTAACATTAGAGAAACTGCTTTATTAAAATTCGTTGGGATTTTCTGTCATTTTGAAAACGATTCTTAACGCCATCGTGAGTCGTAAGAGCTTGGTCTGTAGATTCGAACCGGTCTTCACTCCTCATCCTGCTTTATTGCTTCATAATTCATCGCTCGGCAAACAGAGTTCTTAAACAAAACAATGCTGAAACGCATAATGAAGCCAATATACAAGAAACTGGTATTTGACAGCTTCAATCAATATCTCTGGCAATCCTTTCCTTTATTTCCTGTTGCGTCATAAGATAATAAGATATTGTTTACCTCGGACCTAATGTGCGAGTGCTTCACAAAACCTTTTTGAAAGCCCAAGAGCGCTCTTTATTAATATATTTGTTCGACCGAATATGAATTTCTTTTTTCGACGTTTCATTGTGTATAGTGGAATAAAGTTTTGAACTTTCTCTCTTCAACTACTATTGACTAGCAAAAAGGCATAAAATTTGGTAAATTTTGACAGCTGGAACACCTGTTAGGGTGATGAGTATTTTGACGCAAATAATGTGTTCCTAAAAAATAATTTATACAGTTACGCTTTTGAAAAAGAAACAAAAAAGTCGATGACATTTCTTACTTTCAACCAGAAATTCAAGTTGGCCGGTAAGGAAAAGCTATAAAAATAATAATTAACTGTGAAACATCCTGTCCCATTTTGTTCAAATCGTTTATTTTACCTTCTATTAACAAATAGTTTTTGCGTAGTAGCACCCCGTGAGGTTATACATGTTCCTGAATTTATTTACAAAAAAGGTTAAATTGTCTCATGCTAAGTCGCTCACGCAAGTCCCAAGCGCCAAACAAAGCGCTTTGTTGCTAAGTTTTGTTGTAATCGAAATGTTTTCCGTTCAAATTATTGGGTTCTGTGAATTAGGAAATAAAAGCGGGTTATAGTAAAAGAATTGTTTGGGTTTGATGAGGTGAATTTAGCGGACTAACATGACTTACCCGAGTTCAATTATTGATGTTTCTGATTCTGAACTGTGGGATTTCCAGGACGGAATTAACGGTAAATGTGGCCGCGCAGCTCACACATGAAATTATCTTTCATGCAAATATGACAAGAAAGTAGGTTCTTCAACTATATACCCTGAGGCGAATACAGACTTTGTGATTAAGCATAGCTTAAGCTGTTTGACTCACATGTTTTCTTTATCTGTTTACAGCCGTTTACGCATCAGGCGCCGCTCTACCCGCGTATCAACTCGACGCACGATGATACGAAAGGCAATAAATGGGGACAGCAGCTCGGTGTGGTCATTGGACAGCCAGCCACTACGGCCACGCAAAAGAATATTGTTAAACGTCGGAGGACGATTATTTGAAACGTGGCAAGATAACCTGGACAATTATCCGGACACACTTCTAGGGAGTCCAGAAAAGGAACTATTTTATGATCGCGGTACCAAGATGTATGTATTTGACAGAGATCCGGAAATGTTTCGGCACATTCTGAATTATTACAGGTATTACTTTCTTTTTTTTTTTTTTCATATACTATTGTTAATTTATTGAGAATAAAGGTTTGCAAATGTACCTTGCCCCGCACAATTATATTTCAATCCCAGTAATATTTAGGCTTCATGTGGATAAATTTTTCCTAACCAAAAGTAAGCCACACGTTTCATGCTAATAACTAACAGCAGCCAAGCGAATGAAATGATTCCATATGGCAAGTCCTCCAGATCAATACAGCTTTATAACGCGAAAAAAATTATTTTGGTTTCAGTTTCAATTGTTTTCCATTTTTTAACTGAGCACAAGACGCCACAAAAGAAGGCTACCTTCTTTTGTAGCGTCTGCGGTGCTCAGTTTGCCGTCAACTCGAGAGATTCTTTTTTTCTTTTTGAAAAGCGCGGATCTATAAGACCACAATTAGCCACAATTTTTAGGGTCCGCGGTTTCAGAAATTTCCTGCGATACTTAACATACAGTGTTAAAAATTTGTATTTGCATTTAAAAAGGGCATTTTAAAGGCTTGAAGCCCATAATTTGTCATCATTTTACGAGTCGGTTTTCCTCAGAAAACGAAAACATTACTTAACAATGGCACACCAGGGAATTTCAACATATATCATCTGATATTCTGACAAAGAATATCATATAGCCTTAATAAGAATCCGAAAAAAAATATTTTCCTCGTTAAAACTGAAACAAAAAATAAGCTCTCAACTAAGCTTAGTTAAAAATCAATTAGTACCTGGTGGTGATGGGGACGGAAACTAAACTAAAAACAAAAACCACACGACGACCACATTTTCAATTTGCTAAAAAATGTTTTTTATTGTTTACACTAAAATACTTATTATCCCTCTTTTCCTTTCACGATGTTGGTTCAATCACTTTTCTGAAGAAGATTTTATGGCATCTCTTCGGCTCTTCTTCGGAACTTTACATGAGTCCGACAGGAGCTCTATCAGTAGTTAACTTTCTTACTTCCAGGACTGATCTGAAAGCGAATTCTCCTAACAGGTGAACGTATTTCTCTCTGTTGGATGTTCGAGAGAATTTGAAAAAGGGCATGACAATATCTTCGATGTAATCATATTTTTTGTTCTCCCGTGTATTAAAATGAACTATCAATCGCTCCCGGGAGTTTAAGAATTAAATGAAAACAAAAGGCAATTATAAACCTTTTTGAAACGCACACAAGTAACATGGCGAAACTTTGAATCGATGTGAATTTAGATTTCCAAAAGTGCAATGATTCTCGTGTGAATTGTTGCCAGCTTGTTCATTTATTATTCATTTTATCATTACTCATTTAAATAAATGAATGTTAAATCGTTTGTCTCAAGATCCAGAATCACTACCAATTGTCCAGTTAAGCTAGTAATGAGGATTGCAACTTTTCGTCGTAGCCAGGCAATGAGACTGAATGATTATGACTTCGCTGCTATTGACTCACTCTAATGGTAGATTTCCACGCTCTTTTATTTTCAAGAGCTTGATGTTGATCCTCCTAGGCCGATCTATTGCTGACTCTAAATCGTGAGATAAACGATTTGAATATATATATTCATTATCTAAAAAAACGATGTACAAACATGATTTTACAACTTACACAGGCTTTAAGCTTTTAAAAGCCAAATTATCTCGAGATACCCATCCCAATCACCGACACAGCTCTACAGTTTCTTAAGAAACTAACCCTCTTTACTAATCAGAAACAAGTGCAATTGACAGTAATCCTCCTCATCCTCATTTTGTCGGTTCGCAGGAAACTTACGATAACAATCGTTTCTCTCCAGACTCGGTAGGTTACACTATTCAAGTGACTACTGTGCAGACGAGTTTCGTGATGAGCTTTCTTTCTTTCGTATCTCTATAAACGCCGTATCTAATTGTTGTTGGGACGATTACAGGCAGCCAAGAAAAATACGAATCGACAAAGTGTTTAAGTTAGAGGATCCACACGAAAAACTAGAAGTTGAGAGAGGATGTAAACTGAAAAAAAAGGTCTGGAACATTTGTGACAATCCACACGAGTCGGTTCTTGGTAGATTGTGGTACTATTTCTCTGGACTGCTGATTGCTTTAAGTATTGTTTGTACTGTTGCTGAGACTATACCACCTCCTTGTGACGAGAAATATCTTTGTCAGAACTACACTTGTGGGAAGGAAAATTGGAATTTGTCAGCCATAAAGTATGGAAATGTTAAGTCCTGTGAAAAAATCGATAATTACTTGAAGGAAAGAGAATTATTGTATTTTTCATTGGAAAGTGTGTGTGTAGCAGTGTTTACTTTTGAGTATTTGACGCGGTTTATTACAGCACCAAACCGCTGGCATTACGTAAAGGAGTTTATGAGTGTGATAGACTTGCTTTCAATATTACCATATTACGTTGGGCTGATATTGGATTACGCGCAGGAAACATCAGTGGACAGTCTTAGCGCCTTGGTTTTGCTGCGAGTGCTTCGTGTCTTCCGTGTTCTGAAATTCACTCGACACTCCAGCCGACTACGAAGTTTGTTATTTGCAATCAGACGCTCTGCTTCTGAATTGGGCTTCATCCTATTCAGCTTCTCTCTCGGAGTAACTCTGTTTTCCAGTGTCTTATTCTACGCGGAAAAGCTCGCGGACCTCAAACCGAACAGAACAAATCTGTTTGACAGCATTCCAGCCTCTATGTGGTATTCGGTCGTCACTATGACAACAACTGGGTAGGTTATGTAAAAGGGTGCTGCCCTATCATCAAATCCAGCTATTTCTTTAGGTAGAGAAATTTGTTGGAGTATGCAGTTTGAAAATCAAAGATAGCAATTCATAGAAAGGTATTTGTATAGGTAATAAGATGATTTCGAGTACAATTTGGTGATAGTAAGCACGAGTAAATTTTTCAAAGCCAAAATTTGTGGTCTTTGGAAAAATTTACAAGTTGATTTAATGATTTACTTTAAAAAAGCATAAGAGAAAGTCAATTGCAGGGCCAATAACAAAATGACAGGAATCCCTCAGGAAGGTTCTTCCTTTTGCAATGCAATGTATTTCTTTGTTAAAACTCCTAGATATCGTAAACCAATCACTAACGATGATAATTAGTTAAGGTAGCCGTTTCAATGTTACATGTAATTCATACTAACATCACTCTCTAAAACCAAGACGGGCAAATTAAAAGTATTTCTCCACAACAGATAAAGTTATATAGTTTTCGGCAAACACCTTGTTACGACTTATTTAACCAATTATATACCATTCATACGTTTCAGTTATGGAGACCTTGTTCCGAGAACAGTCATTGGACAACTGATTGGAAGTGTTGGCTGTATTGTTGGCGTGTTAATGATCGCTTTACCTGTTCCAATTATTCAGAAGAAGGTGAGCCATTTAATAAATGTTCATTATCAGTATTGCTACGTTCTCTGCCATGTCTCAGTTTTTGTTTGACTGTGTTCCTTTTTTACTTTCATCACCTTTTTTGCCTCAGTTTTAATCATAGACTTTATCGTTTTCAAGTTTGTCTCGCTCTTTCCCGATGTATTGCTGCAATGGAAATGTTGTCAATCCCGTTTTTTGTGATTCAGGATAAATGTAATTTCTGACATTTGAGAGACATGGGAACGAATTAGTCAGAAACTAATATTCTTAGGGCACGTTGAAGAGCCTCGCATGGCATCATGGAAGTTTCGGATTATTTAAGCGTTTCGCGTGAAAATTAAGTCATTCTAGGTTGGTCACTCTTATGTTTGACCACTCTCTTTTTCTCGTATTGATGTAATTTTCGTTTTTCAAATCCCTGTAAAAAATATCACTACATTCATTGATTTTTCTTTGTGATAAGCAGTGTAACCAGGTTGGTTTACCCTTTCCTCGGGGTATTGCGCTGCTACATTAGATGAGGAATACGTTTCCACATATTTTTTGGTCACTTCTAAAGAGTGGTCTTTTAGTGGTTTTTCGCATCTGGCGTAGCACAGGTTCTTTTGTAGAACCCTTAGTTTTCAGTGTACACATGTTAGGATCAAATTAGGATGCATATACTACAAGACTGGCCGACTCATCCTAAATAAACTTTTCACATTAAATAACTCGTCTGAGTGTAGTCAGAATTTTGTTACCTTGATGACATATGGACGTGCCCAATTGTTAACTTTGATGTCACAAAAGCTGAGAGCGAGAAGTATTTGAAAAATCGACAAGAAAAACATAAAAAAGTAATGTTATAAATCTCTGCTTTTCACAGGCAAATTTACAACTTGGACTTTTGGATGAAGTAGATGAGGCCATGGAAGCAGAGCTCTGATTAAACGTTGATCATTGGCAGCTGGATCATTCGGTAATCACGTGCTGGATGCGTAATGAATATTAAGAGAAGCATAGAGCCTGTGACTGTGGTCTGTGAATCCCTTCAATCTACAGTTTGGTATCTCTAGTCAGTTCGTAGGGTTTATTAGAGAAAAAAATAATTGCCATCCATGCATATTTTGGAAATGACAAGTGTTTCCAAGCGGTAACGTGAGAAAAAAAAAATTAAAAACACAATTCTGATCTAAAAGATCAGCTTTTTAGAGATCATTTAATGGATAATTGAATTTAGACTGAGAGCCAAACGTTAATAGCCACTTCTTTCAGGTTATCATTTATCAGTGTGATTATCATCGGCTTTGATACTGATCATCGCATTTCTACAGACTTAAAAGAGAAACATGATCCAGAAATCATATTTTCTCATTTTCTTCATTAAAACTTATGTATAAGAATTGAACCAAGCCACGTTTATAGCTTCAAGAGGGTAACGCACAGTTTTGAAAACTGTATTCAAATGTGCTGATCATGAGAGAACGACTACAACCTCTGCTCCTTAAACCTTGCGGAGCAATCTGGACGCTAACCTTTGACTCGGGAGAGTCTCGCTCCTCTATCTACCATGCTCTGCGATCCGTTGGAACCACTATCAAGAGGTGCAAAAATAGGTATTCTTAACTCAAACAGTGACTATCTTTATTTTTTGTTAGTGTCCGATATTCGACTGACCAACTTTTTTCTGTCTCTGACACACATGTCGTGGCTTTGCGCATGTGACCAATTTACTAGGTTGCTTTTAAAATGGCGGCGTCCATTTCAAAACAACTTTTGAAAAAATCTCGGTAACCCATTGTAATCTTTTACAGTGCTGCAAATAAAATTTTAATCTACACCAATGAATAGAGGAGATGTAACTGATTATATCTTGTCTACTTTTCCTTTAATAATAACCATTAATATGTGTGTGACATTATTTAACATATGTTCTAGAAAAATAAACCAATTAAGACAAACGTCTGTTAATTCAATATTTTCCGTACCAAGGAAGAATTGCAATAAAAATCAGTTTAGTACTATTGTACAATATGAAACACTTGTCTGGTATTGCTGTCTGTGGTAAGCAGGATACCATTGTTTCTTGTCACATCTTGAACCTTTAAGAGACCTTGAAACTTGTATTCAGGTATTCAGACAGATCACTTGCTCTTATCCTTGCGTTGTCGTTAAATATGATGGTGACAGTCGTTAACACTTCACTGCAAGAAAAAGCAACATGCGACGCGATATGTTTTATTAGGATGGCCAATAGCTCAGTTAGTTACAGAACAGTCTACAAATCTGGGGCCATAAAGTTTTGGCATCGTGCCGAAGGGAAGGGTGAAAGTTCCGTAACCCGAATTAATAGATTCTAGAAAAAAAAAATTCTTTCTCACAGCTTGAGGATCTTATCGAACTCCCAGAGCCTGTTTATGAAACAGTGCCACTTGGGTATTACTGAATATTATAAGCATTACTGACCAAAAGGCCTGCCTGAAAAATTCAAAGCGCCTCGTTCAACAATTACCTTACCTTGAACTGCAGAATGGGTACAGGTAAAGCAATGACAAGCACTCCAAACAGACAACAGGCGCTTCCCACCAGCCGACCAGCTAGTGTCACGGGTATGATATCACCATAACTTGAATAAGAAAAAGTAACAATCCTAGGTTATGTTGCGGGCATAGCTGGAAAAAAACTCATGTGCAGAGCAACCTTGTAAAAAAAACGCATGTAAACGTTATTATAGATATAAATGATATTTTTATTAAATAGCTTTAAGGGGAAACTTTACTGATGAACCAGATTTTTCAGTGTATCACCGAGGGTCCAATACAAGCCGTCACCAACAGGTGACCTGGCCACAACCTCGCAAACGTTTCGACTGAAGAAGCTGACTCAAGGCCGGCGACACACATGGCGACGGATACCCTTTTTCGCGGCGAAATTTGTTGCGACGACGAGGCACTTCAATTAAAAACCAAAAACCTCCGTTCCCGGTCGTGATAAACTGATAGACGTACTCGCAGCGATGATAAAATCACGGAAACAGAAGCAGCCGGCGTATAGCGATATTGAAATGAAATTAAAGCTGGGCGTGTCGACAATATTGAACACCTATCGCGGTAATCAGTGGACACTGCCATCGCTGCACAAGGTAAACTTAGCGATGATTTCCGCCGATAGCCGGGATCAAAGAATGAAATCACATGGTATGTCACCGGCGTAACCTGTTAAAAAGCTTTCAACTGGAAATACGATAAAGTTATGCGATTTTTGGAACTTATTTTTCAACTTATCCTTATCTTTACATACCCTGCTGTAGTTGATGTGATCACTGCGTACCACATGGCTTCGGGAATGCTGGAAAACTGTGTGTCCTCGGAATATTCGGCGAAATAGATGATACTCGAAACTAAAATAACCATGACCATATACAGGAATCCTATCAGGCCTAACTCAGTGGCAGAATCCTTCATGCTTTGGATCAACTGTTTTAATCTCTTAGAATGGCGCAGTAGTTTGAAGATGCGAAGTATCCTTAAAACTCGTAACACCACTAGAGCATTCATGCCGAGTTGGGCGTCAAACGACAGAGCGTTTAAGATCAAGTCAATGTAATACGGCAGAATTGCGAGCAGATCCACGATACTCATGAGGTTGATGATAAATTTAAGACGGCTTGGACAAGTTAACAACCGCGAGACAAACTCGAACGTAAAGAAACCTACACAGACTGTATCAATATAGAAATAAGTGTTCTCGTTTTCCTCTTTGCAAATTCGTATCGTTCCTTTACACGCGATTGTTTCAGTCGTGTTTGCCACCACGCTGATCACAATTGCGGTGACACTTATCAGATAAAAAATCTTCGCATATAAAGAAATAGACGGTTCTTTAAGTGTAAGCCAAACCTTTTCTCTAAAGGAGGCGTTTGGATCAATGCTATGGACAGCCTTTGCGGCCTCTTTATCCTTAGCTTCTTGTTCCTCTCGTCTCTTATTTAATCTTTCGTAAGCTGCTTCAAACGTCTCGAACCAGCAGCACTCACAAAGCATACTAATGTCCAACCCGAAAAACGCCACTTCGTCTAAGAAAGATTGGACGCAATCATCTCGCGGACAATGGAGCTGTCCAGAGTGATAAAAGTTCCAAATGTAGCGAAAGGTGTCTGGATCGCGGTCAAAAAAGAATTCGTTCTTGATCTTATCATAAAAAATATTTCTTGCTTTACTTCCCAGCAATGTGTTTGGATAGATGGAAAGAAAATAATCTCGAATTTGGAAACGTCTGCCACTCACATTCAGAACAACAATTTTGTCGTCGTCGGGGAAATCAATTTCTGGTCGTTTACGACGAGACGAATGCGAATTCGTACTGCGGATGCTATGTTTTGAGGAGCTGTGGAACTTGGAGAGAAATTTCGACGGAGATATTAGCGACAAAAAACTTTTCATTATGGACGTTTCGCTTCTACCTGAAGATTCCGCAAATGCTGAAGATGTAGAACTGTTGATGCTACACGATGCATGCGTAAATTTCTGATCTGAATATTTTTTCCTTTTAAGATAGGAAACTTCGGAAGGACGATCTTGCAATAGAGATTTTGAACTTCCCTCTGAAGAATGATTTGAGTCGGAAAAATGGGCCATGTCTGGATGAAGAAACGTTGATGACTTTTTCTTCAACCTGGCGCTCGAGAGGTTTTTTAATCTTTCGCCTGACTGTTCAACTTTCAACCTATCCCCCACTGAAGCAACAGACTTTGCACTTGATCTCCATTCTCGAGGCGCTGGAACTGCAAGGGGATTGCTGTAGAGCCTTAAATTAGGGGTCGATAGTTGTTTACAAGTAGATCCACTCATTGGAATTGGGACGTTTTGTGGTGTAGTGCAGCTTTGTGTACCCACGCTCGAGGATCTCTTCGGTCTGGTTGTCGAAAGACGATTCAAGTCATTTTCCGATTCGTTTCTGTTTATGAATGTGTCGCACACCACTGGAGAGACGATTTCGTCAGCCAGAGTGTCTTTGTCTGTGACTTCCTCGTTGAGAATTTGGTTTGAAAATTCGAAAGATAAACCTTCTGAACTTGGTGTTGACATAGGTGTGTAATTTGTGGCTATTAAACAACAAAGTTGTTTGGACGGATGCCCGCAACAGGTTGATTTGTTCCGATGTAAGTTCGGTGTGGAACGGGCAACAGGTAAACAAACACCGCCTTCGTTCAGCTTAGTCAAAATTTCTCCCGATCTGTTCAAAGAAGCTGAAGAATCTCGCGCTAATTCCACGGAAATGTCTTGAACGCTACAAGAGCAGGCGAGAGGTACTTCGTCAGCACTTTTACAAGACAGTCGGCTGTTTGAATCAGCATGATGAATACTCTCGTTTTTTGCCGTATGGTCTTGGCAGACACTTGCGTCGTTGTCAAGTGAAAACTCAGAAGTTGATGGAGATGAAGGAACAGAGAGCAATAATTTCCTAGGCCTAAATGAAGTCATAGGGACATTTTGTAATGATGGCGGAGCGAGAAACTCTTTCGAATTTCTTCTTATCAAACTTTGTTCAGACCTGCTTGTTCGCGCACAAGGTGACAATAAAACAGCTGGCACTTCAAGATTATTTTTGTTTGAAAATTCAGCGGCTTTGTTACGTTCTTCGTCGTCTTCTGAAACTTGAATTATGGGCGAGAATAGTGTACGCGGTATTTCTTTAGAGGCTTCTAACGAAGAATCGTTGAAGAAATGATTGTTTTCCTCCATATCATGATACTCACTCATGTTTGAAATAGTATTTGATCCCTGTTGGGGATGCGATTGTAGTCGTTAAATTCTGGTGCTAAAAAAACTCGTAAATAAAACTTTAATAAACCGCATTTTCCAGTTTACTAAATCTTCTTGGCTCCAGTTTTTTAATCTCTAGCGAGAAACGCTCTCCTCTCTCCGCCGTTAAGTTCAAAGTTTGTACCAAATCCAGTAAAGGTTCCAAGACCAGCATTGATGAGAGCTGTTTCAGTAACTATTCTTTCCCTGTTTCAACTTCCTTTAGGCAAGCGGAGATTTCTGTGTTTGACAAACACAAATCAAATATTGTCTTTAAATTTCCGCACCTTTGTCAAAATCAACAGATATTTCGTCTGCGTGGAAATTTTTAACACAATTGATGTTTCCAATAACGCTTGTCTCACATCACTTCCTTCTTTGCAGAATCCCACGCAACGAAAGAAATGATTCTCGGGCGAACATCGAGAAATACTGCCGATTTATTAAATCACGAATTTGAAGTCATTAAATAAACATCAGTTTGCGCACCTCCAAAGAAAAGAAAACTGCAAAATAACGTAAAAGGAGGCTCTCGGATTCGATGAGTTCGGTAATTTTTTGAAGAATTTGGCTTTCGATCGATCAATAAGAAAAATTAGCATCCTTTCACAAAACAAAGTGGGTAGACACACTTCCCAGCGGGTCTTTGAAGTAAAGTAATAACAATTTTGAACTCACGGAGACACCAACCCAACAAAAACAGAGATAAGCAGTTACAAGTGAGAAGCGATTCTTTAAACTTTAATAAGCCTGGCTTCTATCGTGGAATCTATTCGGAGCCAGGGTGAGTTTCATAACAATCAACTTCTTTTTAGACAGCAAAAATTCCTGCAATAAAAAAGTTAAAATACTTCATTTACAAATGTTTTATGAGCAGGGATTCTGGTACAAATTTCAATCAAAACATCTTAATTAACGCACCAATTTTCAGAAGTGAAATTAACCGTAAATAAAACAATGTAAATGGCTTTGAGTGATGTACGTAAGCAGTAGAAAAAGATCGATGAGTTGATAAGATGGTACCCAACTCAGTGGATGTAAAATTCTTAGCCAATAAATTACGGTTGGATAGTTTTGACATAAATATTCTCTTGGGGTCTATGCGATTTGTCAGAAAAGATCGTTCCATTTGCGCATAGCTTGATACTTGTTCACGGGCAAAAGTTTTCATGTTGGAAGACAAAACTAAAATGTCTAGATCGTTCGTCCTTAATTTCTTTACGTCCGAATTTTATTTACAAGTTTTTATTAGGTTTGTGATAAGGAAACAAATTTTTTTCAGAGTATAACACCTTTTGTAATTAATTTTTGTGGAGATTAGCTCAAGAATATATCATTTCTATCCCTTCTCAGCCAAACGAAACATCTAAGACTTAACAAGTTGAAAAACAAATACGTACTGTTAGAAATGGACTATTCAAACATAAATTTCTCCTTAATTTACGAGCCGATAAGAATCGCACTTTCATAAACAAAGCTCGATATTGTCGCGTTGTCTAAAACGTCTTCCCTGCAATGAGGGGAAACAAGGGCGCTTGGTAATAAATAGGATTCATTGTAGTGTTCGTCATAACGTTGCTTAAGTTTATCGCATCCAGGCTTGAGTTAATGAAATAATTTTGTCTAGACATTGTTTGGCTACTTTTTGAAACTGTGATTATGCCATTTGCCTTATTTAATAAAAGCAATCTTCTCTTCCACGAGAGGACAAATGTTTCTATTAAAGGAAAGCTGTCAAATAAGATATAAGACGAAGTGATCTCAGATTAAACTCGAATGTCTTTGGATGGTTTCAAAACGTTCAATAAAACGTTCCCTGTGGTTGAAGGTCAAGGAAATCATCCTAAAATAAATTCACTGACGTCATAATAGTCATTCTAGTTATCTACCGCTAACCGTCTCGATTTTAAGGCCTTTGACTTGGTTTTTGACAGAAACTTTGACAATTTTTACTTCAAGCGTCACTTCGAAAGAAAAGGCTTTAATATGACTCTCTAGCTTTTCAGAACAAATGCTCGAGAAAGAAAAGTCCTCACTAGTGAGGGTGGAGACTAATTTTAATTCCAAAAAATTTAAATGATAACGATGTTGTCGATTTTCTCTGGTTTAGGCGGCGACATCATATAGCACCCTAGCACAACGTTGGGTTCTTTACTTACGCCCTCGCATCATTCTTCAAATCAAAACTTTCTTCTATGAAATACAGGCAAGCTTCCGATATATACTTTTCACTTGTACTGTGATAACGCCGACCACTGCGCTCTGATTGATTGCCAAGAGTTTATTTGTGGCCTCAAGCCACTGCGTAAACACTAGCGTGCGATCTTGCTATGAACCTCGCCAAAATGGTATGTAGTTAGAAATGACCCTTGAAGATAACACTCCTTTAAATAAACAAAGAAAATATAAGGCTCGTACAATCTATTTGGAATTTATTCATGAAAATACTTTGTTTGCATTATTCGTTCTCTCATAAAATTTAAATCCATACTTCTCTTATTAAGCGTTAGCCATATATAAGACAGTTATTTACCAACGACTTATTTATCAACAAGGATACTTGTGTCACCTCACAGAAATTGATAATTCAACACAACGAAAGACGTCGTGGGTAGAAAAAGTTACATATACAATAGTCACTACTTCCCTTTTCCTTCTCATCAATTCAAAGTTTGCTACAATGTACTGAGAGTTAAATTTGGAACTGGTAATGAAAGCAAGATAGTGCAGTGTGACAAACACATGTCCAAACAAGGAACCATAGTCATCTCAAAATGTATGAAAATTCAATGTCATTACTTTTGTTGGGTAAATACTTAGTTTTCAATTGTTTTTGTAAGGCATTAACCAATTCTTCCGAGAAATTATCTGACCTTAATTATCAAGGTGTGCGAGGAACAATGACAAGTCCCCTAAAAAACCTCATAATGCCGCATTCAACTCCTAATCTCTCAGCAACCGAAAAACTAAGTCACCCTGTAGAAGACAGCCCAGCGACTATCAGCAGATAGTATTCCCTCCATATGTTCTTTGACCGTCACTGTTAATCAAAATTGGCGTTGTCTCCTCACTCATATTTTTACTGATAAAATACTTTCTGATTCTCTTCTGTTCAATAAAACCACTTTTTGGAAATTGTCTGTTTCTACACATGACGTACTGAACGAAGCAACCGAGAAATGACAGGAAGACCCAGGTTGCAGACAAGATGTAATCTAGGAAGAACAACAATAGGTATACCATTACATTTTATGCAATGAAATTTTCACATTCGAAGCTTAGGGCGCTGACCATTCCACAACGGTTCTTTAGGCGAGGCAAGATTACTCACCATTTCGCTGGAAAGGCCTCGTAACATTTATATGATCGCGCCGATACTGTGGCTTGGTAGCATGAAGAATGACATCGATCACTATAAAGGAAATACTTGTGTGGATGAAGAAATCAATACCTAGAAAAACCAAGTCATTCAAAGAATTAGTAACAAGATATCATTTGTCTATTGATAACTGTTGATTATGCACAACACGATGGTCAATTGAAACAGCAATCGTAAAACTTAGACTATCCAACTGGAGATCCCCAAGCCTAAATAATTTATCTGAAATTTTGAGATTGGAGTCATTCAAATTCCATCAATACCATGTTCCCGGAGGAAAGAGGAGTTTAACCCTTTAACTCCCAAGATTTAATAAGTAATTCTCCTTACTGTCTGCCATACAATTTATGTTATGTTAGTTTGGAGAAATTGGAATTGGATCAACTAATAATCCCCTTTCTGTATTCTCATTACTTGTCTGCTTGATATCATACTGATAATGTAAGGAGAAATTCTGTTTAGGTCACTAGTGGAACTTAAAGGGTTAAGCACTTCACCATAATCACCACACTGTTTTGGAAATGAATAAATTAACTCAGCCATGATTTCCATTTTCCACACATTGTTAACTTTTGTTACATCCACCAACACTTTCTCCATCCCATTCACCAACTGAGGTACTTAGGAAAAGGTTATCATTGCTTTTGAGTGATAGATTTTTAAATGAATGTGTAATTAAATCATGCTAACCACGCATACTCGTACTGGATATGTAACACATGGTAAGGGCATTGAAACAAGTAATATGCATACTTACCTACAATAAAAGCATACGCAGACACAATGGAAGTGTAAAGAACACAGAGCTGGGGAGTAAAGTTCAACATCTATCAGCTTCAGTTTAGGAATTCTATTAAAAGCCTTGAGTGTAAAGTTGCAGAAAAAATTACTCCACCCTGGCATTAATGGTAAACACTGTAACACTGAACATTAAGATTACACAAACATTTGTAGGCTTGTTCTGACACCAATTACTATAGAGTGAGCAAGGTTATTTGATGAGTTGTTTCTACACAAAAAGTTATGCTATATCAACAAGAAAAGGGAATACTTATGACAAAAGAACAAAATGACTGGTTAAAGTGCCACTAGAAAAGTGCTGACATTTGAAGTGTAAGTTCTTCAAACAAAGAGAAAAAACTTAATGATGGATGATTGACCTCAAAATTGGTTAACACCTGCCTCATAAAACTATGGACATCAAGTAGGATGATACCCCACATGAAGACAATCAAATATTACAGACTTCTTTACTTAGCAGTAATAATTGAGCAGAAAATTTCTTGACAAAGATTTTACATACAAATAAAAAATGTGCTCCATTCCCAACATGTACATTCCTTTCTCAAATAACTTCAAACTGCCCTTCTATAAGCTTTCCGCCCCATAAAACACCATATCATTACAGTACTAAGAGTGCTGTCCTTACCAGAAAAGGCCAAAGTACCAAAATCACTGGAAATACTAGAGTACATGCACAGATGATGGCCCCATAGTCAAAGTCACTGCCTTGAACAAAGTCCAGGTCCCCTGAAATTGCAAAATAGACTGGCTTTAATAGTTATTCAGAATCAAAATAATAAGTCAATAAGAATTTTTGCTGAACATTTGTATTGTCATACTCCAATGTATAGGCACATGTGTGATTACGTTTAAGTTGTTGAGTTTAGGCATGACACAGTAGCTAATGTACAAATAGCTCACTTTTCCACTACCTTTTGGATCAGGAGGAGAATATTTTAAAAGCAGTAAATGCAATTATTTTCACTATAAAAGTGTGCAATCCATAGAGACCAGATGACAAAAAGCTCAGCTTCTGTCACTCAGCATTTGTTCTCTGTGCTTGAACTTTCTAGAGATTAACACATAAAAAAACCAACTTAACCTCTCTACTCACCAAATGGTGTGAACAGTAGTGTTGCTCCAATCAAGAAACCAAGGAGCAATGAATTGAACAGGAGACAAATCCTTGTCCACTCTGTAAACCACCACAAAGCAAACAACAACAAACCAAAAACTACACCTAACCCAGCACTTGTCAGCATTGTACCTGATAAATTAATTGAAAAAAAAAAAAAGATACATGTTAAAAAGGAAAATAATTATGAACAATATGTTTTTGGCTCATGAATTGTTTCATGACCCGTGAATTAGTGATTGTCAGCATTTCACAAGTATTTAATTAAACAGGAAAAAAATCTATGAACAGACACAGAACTCATGTTAAGTAAGGATGAAACATATTCAGGTATTTTTAGGTAAGGTAAAGCCTCCTGTCAACTTAGACCAATATTTAAACTCAGGGCACCCTACATACCAAGATGACTTAAGTTACTGTTGGCATCGATGATGATGAAGAATATGATGGAAAAATTTGCAAGTCCTCCAAAAAATAAGGCTGAAAAAAAAAATGAGATGCTGGTGAATAGGAACTTTTGATTTTTGTTAGTGGTAAGAATGGTTGGAATTCCAATGTGTGCTTCAAAACAGTTATGAAAAATACCTAAATGAGGGCTGTACACTACCATGCAAACAGGGCTGTAAAAAAGCCAAATGGCTCTGTGAACAGTCCTGCAGGAAGCAAAATGTGAGAAGCAAGGAGGAAAGAAAAAGGGCTGTTGTCATATCATGATAAAATGCTCACTGCCAGAGTTAGGTCAGTCGCCTAATGGAAGATATTTGACTCTTAGTCATGACCTTGAGCCAAACATTTAGCCATTTGTCCTTCCCACTCTTCCAATAAGTTAATGTAATTATTATTACAATTGTAGTTAAGGAATAACTGTTTGAATGAAAAGCACCCAAGGATAGAAAAACCTAGCTATCTTTGGGGGCTAAGTCCCATATAAAATAATATGGGAAGGAAGGAGCCTTGCAATTGAGATGAGGTGTACAGTAAGTTTTCAGTCTATTACTTGAGGGACACAAATGTAAACCCTTTCTACTATTTTTCTTCTTTCAGGCTGTTTCATTTTTTTCACTTTAGTTCCTGGATAGCACAAAAACAAAACATATTATAATTGGAAATATCTCACAATTATAATTTGTCAAATGACACTGATAATGGAGCAAATTAGTCAGACTAATTCCCCATTCACACCAACAAAAAATTTCAATAAAGTGAGTTGCACTGAATGGAAATCTGCCACAAAAACATACAAAAAAACTAAACTTTACATGGAATCCAAGTAATCACTAACTTGTATTTTTATAGTGCTTAATTTTAAGCAGATCAATATCAGTTTCAGCCATTTCTTTGAGAAAACTTTGTCTAAAAAACAGCTTAAAATAGTGTCTTAGCTTTGGTGAGAATGGTGCATAAAAATTTTCACCAAAAGCAGAGTTATTTGATACACAAGAAACATTATTGTTACTCACTGAATTTGAAGAGCCGAAACCCAAAGAAACAAAAGATTAACCCAATCAAACTTCCTGTGACAGCAAATACAGCATCAACAACACCAACTGTAAAACAAACAGTCAACACACTACTTTTCACCCTTTTTTAACATAAATGTAGTTTTATGTATTTAACTCTGATATTTTAGGAATAAAAAGACATCAGTAACGATTTTATGAAGACAAATCATAATCACGAAGAAAATCTAAGTTCCTTGTAAAGATTTGAACCTCTGCCAGTTCCAGTGTTGAGGGTAAGAACCTGTGAAGACCTGATGTTGAGCAAATGTATTGAAAGCTACCCATAACAAAAGATTTCCAAATTTTAATGTCAAAACATGATGTGACTAAGGACTGAACCAATGCATTGTAAATGTGCACTAAACAAGAAGTACATGCTTCAGAAACCATATAATTTGAATCTCACATTTAGAAAAATATGTATGAAATAGTGACACTGACTAAGATTTGAGAGTCCAGAGTAACCACCCAAAACAGCCTTACATATACAGCTACAGAACTATTTTTTGTTTTGAAAATAATGGTGTCCATACACAAGTCTTGAGCTCATTTGAAGATAAATTTTAAATGGTTGGAGTACTCTTTCCAATCTCAAAAGTGTACTTTTCATAGTGGAGATATTAACCCTTTAACTCCCAGAGGTGATTAACGTAAAACTTCTCCCTACAATATCCATACATTCTTCAGCAAACAGGTAATGAGAATATTCAAACTTATCAGATAGAAGCTGCTATCTTGATCTAGCACCAAGTTCTCATAACTAATTTACAAGAAAATGTGTAGCAGCCAAAGGGGAGAATTAACAATCAGATCTTGGGAGTTAAAGGGTTAAGTATTATTAGTTCCTGTAGCATGATTCTCCTTTAGTTGTGACTTACGCCTGAGATAATTAGGAGCATAGATTACTGCTGGTGAGTATGCAGCCTCCATGTTGGTAACTGGATCATACACTATAACATTGTACACAACACCTTGGCCAACTTGGTGAGTATCAAATTTTGCCACAGGAAGTGTTGGTGCTTTCAGAGAGGCCATCTGCAAGGGAGGTAATAACAATATTTCACGCCCGATGTTTTTACTGATTGCTTCTTTGGCCTTAAACATTTGGTCATAGAGATGCTTTTGCTCCTTTGAAGAAGTTGTAAATAAGGAAATGACTACACTTCTCATTGGTTTAGAGCTAACAGTATGGCTGGAATTATGAGGTGAGTGCATGGCTTAGTTCTGATGAAAATCAGCTTTCAAATGAGGAGTTTGAATATAATTGGTTAGTCACCAGAGGTCAAGAATACCAAATCCTTTTGTAAAACAGTTTTGTTACAGTCACCTTTATTTGAAAGACTTCTAGATGTATGCAACTTGCTGATAAACAATACTATTCAAGCTGCAAAAAGGTGATACTACACAGTCATACAATTCAAACTCAAATTCTGTGCAGAAAAGTAAAGGCGGCAAACATTGGTAAATGAACATTGTACCAATTTCATCTAGTTTGCAATGAGCCAGATGGAAACTTTGAAGTCAATATATTTTACATAAATTATAAATAAAAGAATCTGACCTTTTTCCCATTGGTTTTGATAACAGCTGGATAAGCCATTTTTTGCAATCCCTTAAAGAAAGTGTCCTCTGATGTATCCCCTTCTTCAAGAAACATAAGATAGATATCATACTCCAGACGATAATGTTCTGGTGACTTCTCTGGATGAATTTTATTCCCATCACATGGTACAGAACTAGAATTCTCAGACCTGTGGAAAAAGAAACACAGGGAAAAAAGAAAGAAATAGTTCATCAATTCAGAGTGTCTATTGATCTGACTCAAACTTAAGAGATATTAGTCACAATGTTAGTCACATATATTATACAAAGTTGCAGGGTAGTGAAATAATGTGACTGACCAAAGATGAAAAGAAAAAAAAATCCCTTTGTTCCATTACAGATTTGATATCTTGTTATCAGTTGAAAGTAACCAGTGATTCTTCCTAAACCCACCAAAAATATTACTTGAGGGTATACAAATAAAAAGCCATGTCAGGTCTCTACACCATGTATTGCCAAATGCATGCTCTTGTAAGCAATCTAACCTACCTTTTATAGTACACATTAGCATATGCAAAGGTTACATTAGTTTCCACTCTATCATAGGATATGACCAGATTTGGATCAAATTCCATGTTACAAGTGAGGCAGCAACCACCAGGGAAAGGAGCTGGAATTAAGATAAGACATACATATAGCAAAAGATCTTTTGTTAATATCAACAATAAAAACAAAATTATGGTATACTTCTTAAAATGTAAATAAAGTGGACAGATTCTCTACTTAAATGGAAACAAGGCTCCAGAAAAAGATACCTTAGCTGAAATTTCATCATGATGCTATTGATAAAATAGATTCCATTTGTTTCAATGTTTTTTCTCATTAAAGAGAGAGCATCACAAACTACTTGTAGCTATAAGAAACATCCTTTTCCACTGCCAATCTGACATCTTGAATTTGTGACTTGATAGTGAAGCCCTCATATCGTCTTAGACTACAGCTTATTTGTAATGGTTTTAAGAGGAAGGGGACTGGAGAGGTCTGTAGTTGTAACAGCTTCAAATCCAGTCAAACCCTTAGTAAGGGTTCTGAAACAGCACTAATATCACTGTGAGGTAATGATCAAGGCCATGTTTAATGTTACAGTTAAAAAAAAAGTACCATGAATGGAATTTTGATTACAAAGTACAGTAAAAGAAATCATACTGCCATTTAAAAAGAGTAGTACATACAAGGTATGTAATCTACCTTCAAAGGAATGAGAGGGGATAACTTGGCAAGCTGTCAAAAACCTAAATCTGTTTAATTTTTTTCCAGTGTTTCTCATTCATTTGTTTTAATGTAGAGGATATTACTATCCTCCTGCAACCACATTTTCTATACCTTTCACCTTCAAGATCTGAATACCAGAGTGATTCTCCAAACTGTTTGTCATTCATCACCTATATTTTTAGACCTAAAAATTTGGTGATCATTCAAACAATATCCCCCAGTTCATGTTCACTTTTTTTCACTTCACATCACCTTCCTACTTGAAAATGTAAGTACATTGTGAGAATAAATTCATGCTTGATTACTTATTGGAGTGAATGGGTTAACAAAACCCTAATTAGGGGGTTCGTTTCTGTACTGGGATACATTCCTGATTTAATTATCCAGTTGCTGTGTTGTTTCATGGTAAAATTAATACAATAAAATAGAGCTTTACTACAACATTATCCCTGCAATCTAAACAGCCCTACATAAAAACAACTCACCTCCATAGACATATGGAACTGAGATGATGTCAACATTAAAGGAGTCATCATTACTCTCTGACTTCAAATAAAAGTGATAATCTGTAAATAACCTTTTTATTGGACACAGAACTGCAACACCTTGTCCTGTATCTGTTTCATCGTATTTAAAAATAGGATTGAGAGACAATGTCACGTTGTTTTGCTGCGCATGTACTTGGATAATTGCATATCTCCAGGATCTCTCAACTTTATTATGTTGGAGTTCCATGTCCCATGTTACATGTGGTTTAAGTAGCAATCTTTCTCCTCTGTTTGGTTGAAGATGAAACGCAGTATTGCCTGCAGGGACTAACAAAAGTCATGATTCTTAGTTTCTCTTTTCTATGTAAACTGTGAATTGTTAATAAAGCATGACCTGTAAAAGTATTTGTATACAATCTTGTATACATCATGTAATCAGAACACTGACTAAAAGACAATGTGATTAAATCTCCAGAGTCGACAAAGGGGGGAAATATTGGGGTCTATTAGAAACCGCAAAACTGTAGGAAAATCATCTAAAACCACAAAACTGCAAAAAAAATATCAAAACCAAAAACCACATTAAATTCTCCTTGTCTTTCCCCTCTTCATAAAAAAAACTCAACACAACCCACAATTGCTTCTGGAGGTTCTTGAGTTTCTTCCATTGCTGGTGAGTGAGGTATGTTGGAAGCCATGGGTCGCAAACTGATTGACCTAAGTGCTCCAAATTGCAATGTCAAAGTCTCAGGCGTTATTCAAGATGTGCAACCCCTTAAGGATCCCTGCAACATTTAACCTATTTGAAGTTATTTTAGTGACATTTGGTTTGTCACACATTCCTCTAAATAAGATTTACATTTTGCAGCTATAACATTGTAAACTTATGGGAAACTGCTCAAAAGAACACAGAATTAAACGAAGTTCTGACTAGAATCATAATGAAACAGTTTATTAAATCAGATGACAAGCACACACATCAGATGACAACCACACATACAATTCCATAAATAGAAACAAACCGAATAGAAAGCTGTTTGATTCGGTGAACAAATAATTAAGACTCCACAAATGCCTATTGTTTGTTACATCAGATCCGTTGATCCTACCCCTTTTTATACAAATGCAGATAAAGCTGTCTGCTATAGTAAATTGAAATTATGTTATCTTATGTTATCTTCTTATGTCATCATTTTCTTAAGTTTCAATCTCGACGACATTCTGTACGTAATTTTCGGTGAGAAGACAAAACGTTCTGTATACAAGCCCAAATTAGGTACTTCATGAATAAAAATCTGACCATAAAAGTGAAACAAGGTAGTGTGGCATAGTAGTTAGGCTTGACAGGGAATATTTTCTTAATAAATTAAAGTTTGCGTGTCGAAACTCCACAAGTACAAAATCACGCAGATCTCTTACCTGCAAATTCGTGTGAAAGGATGCATACTACAGGGAGGATAAATAATAAAATAGCTTTCTTTTCTTGTGACATCGACAAAACCTTAAAGGATCTTCAGAAATGATAATTCCAAGACTTATCACACAAGAAACATAGAACTCAACATCACGCTCTGTTCGACATTTGTTTTCTGTTTTCACTTACCGCACGGAATGCTGGGATAGTATCATGCTGCATGTGAAAGAGGCTGGTATACCCAACTGTGATTGGCTGGAGATCAACGGAAAACAAGTTTTTCAAACTGTTCAGCATTCACGATCAAGAGCACGTTGGTTCGAACCCCCTTTTGAAAATCAGTGGTTCTCTTGCGATCTGCGGCAGATGCACTGAGATCTACGGTTGAATAATGTCTTCAAGAGAACGTAAGTTACCTATTTCTTATCCCAAATTATTATATTTCCACTATTTTGTCTGAAACTTACTCCGATCGCAGAATGTATTCACTATTTATTTACAGTAGCATGCATGGCGATATCGACAAGCTAGTCCGATTGCAAAGTTAGAGCTTGGCATTAGAAAGCATTGTAATTATTTCTATATTTTTGGATAACGGCAACATTTGCTCCTATTTAGCGTTTTTTTCTTCTGAAACTCAAATTGCTCTCTGTTTTGTTAAGTAGCCCGTTTACACCGTTACCCAATGCATGAACATTTCTGCTCCCCTGACTTTTTGCATGAGAAATGGCTCGAGATCTCTTGTATTTTACCTTCTTTATGAGGTTTTTTACTGTGTTGTCTAATAGTGAATGCATGTAATTCAAATACTCTACTCGGACTTTGTTATTCGAATTTCTGTTTAATGAATATCACGTTACTATTCATTGTTAGTATTTCTCGAATAACTCTTTCAATGTAACAAACAAAGGCTCTTTACTCTTGTTGATCTATTTGATTTTACAGATACCACCTCTTCTCTTGATGACAGCCTGACAAACATACAGTGGCTTTGTAAACTGGAATCCAATCCACTGTTGGAAACAGAACAGAAGAACGGCACTGGGGAGCCAACATGTATGAATCCTTACCCAAAGCCTCCATTCTCTTACGCTACCCTCATATTACTGGCTATTAACAGCACCTCAGAAAAGCGCATGACACTGCAGGACATATACAAATGGATAGAGGACAATTTCCCTTATTACAAAAACTGCAAAAAAGCATGGAAGGTAATAACAGTTCTGTTGTTTGATAAATTGATGCAAATTTATTGCTTATCATGAATGGATGATAATGTTTGTAAGCCTTTGTTTAACGTGTATACTTGGCAGGACAATCAAGTACAACAGTGCTTTTGATGCTTTCTAATTCTCCATAAGAATATTCAATCCCAGTCTTGCAACAACACAACAAACAGGAGCATTTGACTACTGAAATCTCCATGCAATAGCCATCTGTTCTGCCCTAGAAGGGTTCCCACCATGTGCTAGTTTTGATGGACAATTCCCAGTAAAACTGATACATGTTCATAATCCCTGTGAAATTTTGTTCTTGCAGAATTCCATCCGTCATAACTTATCACTTCACAGCTATTTCCTCAAGGCCCAAAGGCCATCTAATCTTCCTGGAAAAGGAAGTTACTGGTCCATATCACCAGAAGGGAAAGAGAACATCATGAAAGAAGTCATGAAGCATCAGCAGCCACTTATCAACCAAGATATGACCTTAGAGCAATCAAACACAAGGGGACTGCGACCAATACTGCCCAAACCATCAGAGGATCAACTCGTTGCTAGCACTTTATTGAACAAGGGTGGTGTTCAAATTTTAACAGATGGAAGTGTTAATGGATTACCTGGTAGTATTCCAGTAGTGATTTTACCAACCCAGCTTTACATGAATATGTTTAGCAAAATTGCTTCTCAAGCTGCTACAGGAAGTACCACAGCAGTTGGAGTAAGTCCTACTCTCGTGCCCATGACAACAGAAACTCAAAGTACTGTAAACCCTGGGTTTGCCCAGCTAGTTCCTGAATCTGAAGAACTTGGACAAGATAGTGAAACAATCCTCTCAGAAATAGCCATTACAGAGGAGGAGATAGGATCAGGATGTTCAACATCAGTGACTCAGATATCACAAGAAAACTGTGAAAACAATTCTGCAACTATGACAGTGGAACAAGCCCTATGTAAGATTGAAAAGAGGGAAAATGAAAATTCTTCTGAAAGGTTTATAAATAGTGCACCAATCATCAGTAGGGAGACCTGTGAGAGCCCTAATATAGTTGATATTAAAACTGAGAAAAATGAAATTTTAGCCCTACACATCAAGAAGACTAAAACAGACAAACGTAAAAGCAAACCTTACAGTAAGAATCAAACATCTTCATGTGTGCAAAGAAAGCAAGATTTAAAACAATCCAAGCGCTCACCACTTCGGCCCTGCCCCCAGCTCACCTTGGCTGCCATCAATTCACAAGCTAATGAAATGTCATCACCAGGACACATCTTTAGCAAACACAATAACAGTGAATTCAATTGTATATCACCTTTAAAACCACTGATCACACCTACGAAAAACCTTGAAAACCAGAGCTTCCTGACCTCCTTGCTAGTTTCACCTCTTGGTTATAACAACAGTGGTCACACAGGCTTTACATCCTTGCAATTTTCTTCAGACAGTGGATTCTTCTCACCATTCCAGGAAGGGACAGTGGATTATGGATTTTTATTGTCCCCTGAGAGGTTTGGAAACAGTAGGGTTTGTAGTACACCACAGAGCTGTCGTAAATCTTTGGGGCTTGGTTTGACTTGCAAAAATCAGGGAAAGAAAGCTGATGAGTATGATGCTGATTTTGCAAGACTTTGAGGTTTAGCTTTATCTAGTATGAAATAACAAATTTATTAAATTGTTAAATTCTAATAGAGGCTAATTTTCCCCTGACAAAACTAACCATTTAGATTGCAATAGTTAGAAAGATGAATAACATTACAGCTTTAAAAGTCAGTGATACAGCAGACTGTAATTTGTTTTTTGTGTTCTAACACTCAGTTATTGCTTCCTTTTTTCAGTGTTTAAGTTTTTTTCTGATCATTATTACTATCATTATAAATCATACTGTAATACTTTTCAGTAACATAATATTACTTACAGGATCATTTTAGCTAGACTCAATTTGAATTAACAATTGGTTCATATGTCAGCGTGCGTTCATCGAGATATGAAGCACGCGGGAAGTTTGGAGAGTATGAAAGATGCGTAAGAGTTGCTCAAGGCATAGCCGAGAGCAACTCTAGCTTCCTGAGTGCTCTCCAAACTTCCCAAGTGCTTCATATCTTGATGAACGCACAGCTGATGTATGAACCAATTGTTTTATAACATTTTCAACCCAATGGAAAATTTTTTTCACAAGGGATTTGTTTGCTGACATCATGAGCGCGCACAATAGGAATATGAAGCACGCTCGCGCAATTGAATTTGATTAGACAAATTTACTAGCTATGTTATAACTCTTGTTAATAATCTTTACGTGCCATAGTAAAACTAAAACAAGGTAAAAGTTTGTCTTGGAGAAAAATAAAAACTCACTAACATGTTTTCCCAGCTAAATGCAACTGAAAACAATCAAAAATAGGTTAAAACAAAGAAAAATTAGTATATAGAATTTTTCAATAGTTTCTGTGTTGTCAATACTCTTTTGTACCCAAATAATGTAATGTAATTTTCTAACTGCAATACAGGACGGGTAAAGCAAAATTACATTTATTATATCAAGTTTTTTTATCTTTTTACTTCAGTTATTATAAGAATGTACTCTGGAGTGTGTGGAAATGATCATAATTTTTCTTGTGAACAAAATGTACTCTTACAATAGTATTAGCTTTCATAGGTGTTTTCCTATAATTTTGAACTTAGTGCTAATCTGGTTAAAAAACGAATAATTCAACTCTGTCTTATTTAGTTTTACTAATTTGAATTCTGTGTGATGAAACTTCAGCCTCATAAGGTTGCTCTTACCCAGACATAAATTTTAATTTTTATCAAAAACTTGAGAATATGGTTAAAAAAACCAAAAGATATCTTATTTGTGAATATTAATAATATATATTCCTACCTATGTTTCCTTGAGGAAAGTGTCTCAGTACAGATGATACGATCGCTAACGATTGTAAGTAAGTCAATCAGGAGGTCCCTGTAACAAACGACTTTTTTTTTCCTTCCCCTTTTTTCAGGTGTCTTGATGTCGCTAAGATTTCAAGAAACGTGTTTGAGATTTAAATGGCTTACGGTACAAAACAGTCATTATTTATAAACAAAACAGGAAGGAAGAATGAACGTTTTGAACTCGAACGGAATACCCGAATTGTTCCATTGCAAAAACGTTACTCTCCAAAATGATTCGATTTAGCGCCTTTGTTCTCTCTCTGATAATGACCCCCACCCCACCCCTCTCGAATTTGTGTTTTTGTTTCGAAATAAGTGCACTATTCTTTTTCCGTGATAGCGCTGTTAGAATACATGTACATTGAGATCAACCGCGGTTCACCTTCCGTTAACTGCTTACTAAAGCCTCATTAGATAAACGTTGGAATTCGTCTCAGTCTCGCAACTAAATGACCTCCTCATAAAATTTTGTGACGATTGCCCGGCTGTTCGTTCCAAAAAGGAAGAATCCAAGGACAAGTCCTTTTTCCAGTCTCCTTGATCCTTTTTGAAGGAATATCAACGCTTTGTCTCGCACATTCTGCTGTTTCTGAAAAGAGAAATAAGCGCCATGTTTCGAAGAAGCGCGACCCCGGGCGCTAAATCGAATAATTGCGGTACGTTACAAGACACAAGGTCATGACGTACTATTCCAGTTGTCAAAATGTTTACTTTCAACTATTGTCAATCATTTAGATTTATTCATTTAAGACAACCGGCTGCATATGGTTTATCGTGAGGCAAGGTGGTTTACTGTCTTGCTTACCACAATATGGAACGGTTTAGCGCGACACAGGGATTTTCGTACAACGCAAAGAGGTCTTTCACGATTTAAGTTACAACACAAAAAGAAGTCTAAAAAGAGTTAAGGAACTAAGGTGGTTATACGCGCGGAGACGAAATGGTGAGGGGCATGGACGAGAAAAGCACTCTCTAAGGAACAGGTAAAATGAGTTTTCATGACATTCCAGAAACAAAAATGACGCCCAATGGTTATCAGTGCAAGGTATTTCTACCATTTTGGCCCACGATACTTTATTACTTCCCTGTACAGCTACATCTGTGTTGATACTCACAGAAAGGTTGCCATTTGTGATGGTTACCAACTTCGCTTACAGAGACAAGTGACAACATATGAGGAGAGCCACATATCAGCCCCTGAGGCCATGCTGCAACTAAGAGACGTTTAAAATAACCAATAAGGACTTCCATCCAACAGCGCTGCCCTTTATGTAATTAGTTCCCATGGGAATAATTGGACGGCGATGGAGAGCGGAAAAAAAAACTAAGTTGGCCGAAACATGGATTTCCGCACACTTTGGCTGATAAGGCTATTTAAGTCGCTGCAGTCCTCATCCGCAACTATGGCTACAGTGGCTCCCCTCGATATCTTTGCAAGAGTCGCGCTTCAGGTTTATGAACGTATATACTTCTATCTGCTATCTGTTTCATTTAAATATTTTCAATCAACAATCTTCCGATCTAAAATCATTTCCTAAGTGTTTCTTAAGTGTTTCCCCCATTCAGTAATAACACGGCGTTGCGTTACTTTTGTGTCCTTTCAATGATTCCTTCTTCCCGTACAATTGTTTCAATATCCTCCAACACGTGTGGGTTTTCCATTGTTGGCGTAATCTATATAAGAGGAAAACAACTGAATTTAAACCAAATACCAACAAAAACAATATCATGTATAGGCGAGTATGATAAAAACAGTTGTAAGGTTGATTCGTAAGCTGGTTGTAACGACAGTTTTTCGATGTCACGAACCACTCTGCGAACTAGAAATCACAAATGAGGATTTTTGCATTGCGAGGAAAAACCAAGAAAATAAAATTTCCTAAAAAACAAACGACATTAACTTACTTTATAAGGTTTTCCGTGAAGGATCTTGGACAGAATACCTCTCACAGTTTTTCCTGAGCGAGTCTGATGGAAAAGGAAAGGAAGAAAAGTCTTCTTTGTCTAACCACAGTAGTTTTACACAGACGAACGGCTGGGTTTATTGAAGCCGAGAGGAGAACGTTTACAACGATTGACTAGCACTGAGAGAGTCAATTTGGCTTCGAATTTTTTTAACTGTTTTTTTCACATCCTCTCAAGCCGGAATAGAAATATGATTGATCACTGATTCGTGACGATTTTACACGCAATGACAGTATTGTTGTAGGTACCATTTTCCAATGAATTGGAGGTGGGGGTGATCGATATGAATTATCACCTTCTAATGTCAAAGTGAAGAGTCAAACGCCCCATCAGACTCTCACCCTCTTAATCACGCCAATGAAAGGCGAAACCGATGCATGTGGGCGAAATTTCGAGTCTTAAGAAACTAGACAAACAGAATCATCACGTCGTAGTATTCTAATCAGGTCCTCAAAAACAACAAGATATACATTACTGTTAGAGATGAATTATGTATCAAGGTTGCAACAATGGTTAATATGAAGAAAAAAAACAGTCGACTGACCATGTAATTATTTGAATGAAAGTGATCCTCCTTGTCCATATTCTGAGCAGTAGTTTTTTTTTAAATAAGGTATCAGATTCAAGATTTCAGATTCAGACTCTGCGATAACGGTGCAGCGCTTTACCAACTGAGCTAACAAGCCAACTGAGAGCTGGTCATTATGCCGTTTATTCATCACTTCACGGGTTTATTCATGGGTGGTTCATTGTTAGGTGCTCACTTTTTCACTACTGCTCAAGTAGTGCACATTACTGCGAGGATCACTTTCATTCACGTCTTTATCCGCAGTTCAAATATATGACTTTCACATATTCTTAGCCGTTCATGTAATTATTCTAACTTACCTTGGGAAGTGTTGGTACTACGATGGCAGTTTTAAATGCCGCCACAGGACCAACAAACTCACGAACACTCTGAATAACTTGTTGGACTGCATCCTCTCGGGAAACACCACTCGCTTTGGCAAGAAATACAGAAATCAACTTCAGTTCAAATCAAAGGACGGGGACCGTTACAGGGTAAGTTTTACGCTCGTACGCCCAAAGCCTAGATGTACTCGATATATGATTCCCTTCTATATTATTTAAAATTCGTCTGAATTTTATCCCTGAAGACCTTGCAAGAAACGCTGAAGAACATAGTCAAACAAACTGGTCTTTCCTAAATCAGTAACTACTCTTAAGATGTTACCTTGTCCATATTCTAGCACGCGATTTTTTTTTTAATTCGGTATCAGATTCAAGGCATTGAATTGGGTGATTCACAAACGTTCATAACAGTTGAACTGAAAAGAATAAACATCTCCTATTCAATTTCTTAACAAACTCATTCGCGTACTTTTATCGATGACTATAAATCCAACTGGCAAATGACCCTTGATCGGGTCCTCAAGTCCCACGCATGCGGCATCGATCACAAAATCGAGACGAATCATTCCCTGAAAACAAAGAAGAAAATTATTGCGATTACGTCGGTACGTTTCAGAGGATGCATTAATGGACAACGAACGTACCAAATCTTGTAGATAAACACTTAGATCTGTTGCAATCGCGAGAATGTTGTTTCATTTGAACCAAGCCGACCCGAGTATAAGAGCAATAAAATACTTCACCTCCTCTAAAGATTTAGTGGAGATCCTGTGACCTGCTACATTGATGACGTCATCGGTGCGTGCCATGATTGACACAAATCCACCATCATCCATAACACCGTCGTCACTTGAGTCGTAATATCCCTAACAGAATGTAGACCACAATAGAAGCAAGAGATGACGTGTTAACACACCGGCCAATGACAAGTTGTTATCTTACGACGGTGTACAGCGGTAACATACCGGGTATTTAGTGAAATATGTTTTGACGAATCTGTCGTCAGCCTTCCAAAGGGTCGCCATTGTTCCTGGAGGAAGCGGAAGCCTAAAATAGGAATCGCACATTTTAAAGCTCATTTTGTGTCCATCATTCTTACAGTTACTATGTGTCAAATGAGGAGCCACATATAAAAAGACAAACTCAAAACCTTGTACAAAAGATAGGTAATTTATCTAAGCCTTACTTGACAACGACTTGACCCAGATCTCCACGGTCAGCTTCGGTTAAGCCATCCTTGAGTATTTTCACTGAAAACAAACCGTACACTCGGTTGTCCCAGGTGAGAAGCAAATTTAAAAACGTTGTTCGTTTTCATCATTATTTTACTGAATGCTTCATAACCTTTCGCCTTAAAAAAGGTAACGTCCGCGTATGATCAGCCTATCTTTCTAAGGTTTATCCTGGTTTTTTGAGAAGGAATCGACGAGTAGGATAGCCACTACCCCCTGGATAGTATTCGCGGAATACCCCCCCACCCTGCATTCCATAGAGTATCCCATGGAGATGGGAGGAACTGTAACAGTTAAAAGACTTGTGTTAGAGCAATAAATAAAGCCTCAACCGCGATTTGAACCCAGACCTCTGGAGATGAAATCTGACGAGCCAGCCTGTGGGCAACTGTGTCCTCTCTTGTCACCCTGATCGAAGTCGATTGCAGCAACGGTGACCTGCCTTATAAGAAATGCTAACTAAAAGCATTTCTTAAGATTAAAAAAAAAACGACAACAATATGTAT